CAGAAACTTGAGTTTAGAACATAGACACAAGTAAAAGTAATACATGGAAGAAGATATACCTACATACACTGTAGAGCTGGAGCACTGTATTGATACTAGCATAAGTAGATTGCAGATGAAGCTACTTAAACACATCTGGTGATAATAAGCTGTAATTGAAGCTGGGCGGTGGGGGCACATTCCTTTAATCCCAGCACTTGGGAGGCAGAGGCAGGCGTATCTCTGTGAGTTCGAGACCAGCCTGGTCTACAGAGCTAGTTCCAGGACAGGCTCCAAAGCCACAGAGAAACCCTGTCTTGAAAAAAACCAAGACGGAAAAAAAAAAGCTGTTAATTGAGAAGGCATGATATTTTCAGATCCCAAATCCATAGATGTGCATATAGGCTATTTAAAAGCATAGAAATATGTAAACAAAAATAGAAAAAAATGAGAAATAGTCAAGACTAGGATGGACTTCTTTTTTGTTTTTTTAAATACTTATTTATTATGTAGACAATATACTTTCTGTGTATATGCCTGCAGGCCAGAAGAGGGCACCAGACCTCATTATAGATGGTTGTGAGCCACCATGTGGTTGCCGGGAATTGAACTCAGGACCTTTGGAAGAGCAGGCAATGCTCTTAACCTCTGAGCCATCTCTCCAGCCCGGGTGGACTTATTTCTATTCCTGTGTACCTGGTAGTCAAAACAGCACTCTAGGTCAAGATTCCACTGCTTAAGTTGTAGCAAATACCAAAGAAATGTAGAATGCTCCTAAAGGCAAGCATAGATATCCAATTATTAATAGACATACAACTAGTGAAACCAAAAATAAGAAACAATTGTAAAATCTTACATAGAACTGACAAAATGAAAATAACTTAAATGTTTATTAGTAATATTTTTTTGTTTGTTCAAGCACTGTAATAGTGTAAAAAGTAAAAGGAACATTCCACTTACTTTCATACAGATTACATGACTAGGACAAAATCCATCCCCCAAACTCATCATAATTGCTGTATATGTATTATGCGTATAGGCTACACTTGAAGCCTAGTGTCCTTAGAGGTCAGAAGTGGCCATTATATTCCTTGATCTGTACTTAAAATTGTTTGTAACCGCCTGAGTGGTGGAACCTGAGCTTGTTTTCTCTCCTAGAGCACTAAGTGCCCTTAAGCACTAAGCTTTATATCTTGCTCCCTTTCACAATTTTTTTTTTTTTACATGGGAAGGAAGTTTTTATCTGAAATCCTCAGATTTGTGCACTTCAGTAAATATAAAAGAAACAAACCATACAGAATTCTCCTGCAGCTTACATTTCTAAGCCCCTGAAGAGGCTTGTGAAAGCCCCTTGTCTTTAAGTTAGGAAATAGGTCTTGATGTAAGCAGTGCAGATGCAGCGAATTCTTGTACGTGGAAGAAATGGAGTGATGGTTGTTGGCCTGCTCATCAGTGCTGTCTGTGTCTAAGTTGTATAGTTGTCCCCAGATTTTTCTGTGTTTGGTTCCTTCTGAGGTCAGATGAAATGTTAATGGTTTTGTTTCTCAATCTGATTGATACCTCTGATTCGGGTTTATTAAGAAGTTCCTTTGTCTTAAAATACTTCTAAGTGCATTTTAGCAATATATTGTGAGTGCATATTTTCATTAAACTTGCTTTTATAGTCAAAGATTTATCTCAATGAGACTTCACTTGCCTACCATGTCCTATTGTCTGGGTTAATTTCTATGTACCACAAAACTAGAAAAAAACTAACTTTTAGGAATTCTGGATACTTAGCTTAAAAACTGAATTTGGGGATTTTTGTGTTTAGTTTTGCAAATGTTCGATACTCATCATGATTTAAACTGAACGTTGTAGAGGCCTAGTAAAGCATAATTAAATCTTTACTGTGTGCGTGTAACTGAGATACAGAATGAAATTCTAGCATTTACATTGGTAAGATTTAGCAACACAACCATGGAATGGTAATTTTTCTATTTATATATAACAGGTTTTCAAAGATTAGCGAAGTTAAAAGTAGGAAAATTTGTAATATTATAGCATTTGTCTTTGGAGTTCATACATTTAAAAGTAGAGAATATTATCAACTATTCCATGTAGCCTGTCCCAAGTAAATCTATGATTGGAACATTTCCTTCAAATCAAGGATTATCTTGTCATAGCTTAGATGGCTTATAACCTATAGGGTACCTATATCCTAAAACCATCTTTCTCATGGAAAGGATTGTCGAGAAAGGTCATGTGAGCTTCAGGAACGACTTGGAGACTTTTCAGAGATAGAGATTGGGATAATGTGGAATTGTTAGGGTTGGAATTAAGAAGCCAAACTTTGGGGGTCGAAGATGACCCAGTAGCTGAGGATACTTACTGGTCTTGCAAAGGACCTTGGTTGGGTCCTACCACTCACAAGGAACTTACTACCTTATATAAGTCCAGTTGCAGGGATCTGCTGCCCTCTCTGGCCTTTGTGTGTACTGTTTGCACATGGTGCACACATGTGGGCCAAACACTCGCATCGCTAAAGTTAAAGTAAATTATTAAAAAATAATCTAGTGTTGTATATATGTGGTGCTATTTGTCCTAGAATTTTAGGGAAAGATCTTTGTTCACGTTTAACTAGATATTTATCTTAATATTTTCCCCACTGTATTTATTTATGTGTGTATGTGTGTGCACACTCATGGTTGTGTGGAGGTCACAGGACAAGTTTTGGAAGACACTGTTCTCTTTCAATCATGTGGGTTCTGGAGAATCAGACTCAGGCTTCTTGCCCTAACAGTGACAGCCTTTACCCTGTCATCCTTCTGTCTGGCTCTTAGATTAGTTTTGTATAATTATAGATGATTTTTCTTATTCATAAATTTTCAGATTGCATATCTTCCCAAGTTGAAATATTATGGAAGTAGTTCCTGTGACTGTTGAAAACAAGGGTCTGTTAAAGCATTTCGGGCCTTCTGCTGACGGTTTTGAATGTTTAGTTATTGGGGACTCATCTTGGTGGATTGAATAAAGCCCTGCTGTGAGCTTGACAACGTCTGCTGAGCCCCGCACTGTGCATCTGTGATGAATAAATGGATCTCTACTTTTTGTCTTTAGAGCAAAGGTGCTAGTGCCGGAAGGGAGTGGACCGAGCAGGAGACTCTCCTTCTCCTGGAGGTAAGCTAACAGTGACATAGGCCTGCAACTGATGCATGCAAGTTTCTACTTCCTCGCTTTTCTTCATTGTCTCTCAGGAGAATTCGAAAAGATAACTTTTTTAGTGTTTTTGTTACTATTTTTAGTTATTCTAGTCTGTCCTTTGGATGTCAGTGTTAAGCATGTGCCTTTTCAGTACCACGTTTTAAAATCAGAACTCTTGACCAGCCGCGCCTGTCATGCATAGTGATTGGACAGGAGTGTGTACTCAATACTCCCAAGGAATACAGCTTTTTTGCAGTGCTGTTTTGGAATCTTTGTGCCATGAGGAGAAATTTAATTGTACTAGAACTGAAAACAGCAACAGTTACTTCTGCACACTGGTGTTCTTTGGTTTTCGTTAAGTTCAGTGGATAGGACTGGAGAGATGGCTCAACCATTAAAGACTAGATTCACAACCAAAAATATGAGATTAATGGGTATTACAGAGTGACGTAAGAAGTTCTGAGCTACTGTTTACTCTGAACGTACTGAAGCAAACTGGTTTACCCTTAAACAATAGTACATTTTCTTTGCTGCAGGTGAGATCTAGACTGTATTTATGTTGATTTTTTTTTTTTAACCTAAGACGAAGTAAGTCTCAGCAGCATTGTTTACCATTAACACTGTCCATAAATGCAGTTTGTTAGCACAATCACTAGCTTAAAAATTGATTTTCCATGGGCTGGCAAGATGGCTCAGCGGTTAAGAGCACTGACTTCTCTTTTAGAGGTCCTGAGTTCAATTCCCAGCAACCACATGGTGGCTCACAGCCATCTGTAATGAGATCTGGTGCCCTCTTCTGGTGTGCAAGTGTACATGGAAGAAATGTTGTATATATAATAAATAAATAAATCTTTAAAAAAGGTTTGTTTGTTTTTTTTTTTAAAGTTGGTTTTCCTGTATACAGCCTCTAATCCTAGCATTTGAAGGCTGGTGCCTAAGGATTGCAAGTCCTTTCCTTTCATGATTAGATATGACAACTCTGTCTTAAAAACCTTCATAGAAAAAACAACACACATGCATATACACACACAGAAAATGCCAGGTATGGTGGCACACGCCTTTAATCCCAGCACTTGGGAGGCAGAGGCAGGTGGATCTCTGTGAGTTGAGGCCAGCCTAGTCTATAAGAGCTAGTTCTAGGACAGGTTCCAAAGCTGCAGAGAAATCCTGTCCCTGTCTTGAAAAGCCAGATTAAAAAAAGAAAAGGGGGTGGAGTGGGGGCTACACTGCTTAGGCCACATAGGATCCCTTTTTTCAGAAACCAAAGCACATTTCTGTCCTTCCGTATTTGTACCTTGGCCTTTGGTGTACTTTGTTTTTCTAGCCTTCAGATCTGTTAGAAAATTCATTTTTGTGATTTAGCCATAAGTCAACACAGTTTTGAGTAGTTGGGCTAACAGCAGTACATTTGAATAACTCTGGCACTGGGATAAAAAAAAGGAGGTAGCTAAGGGCTTTGTTGTTTCACTTGTGTTGTGGAGGGCACATGACACTACATGGAGGCAGTGTTTCTCTTCCCCAGTATAGGAGCCAAGGATTGAACTCAAGTGGTCCTGCTTGGCTGCAAAGCTGAGCCAAATGACTGACTTTCTGGGCTCTAGCTTAGAGAGTGCCCTGTGTCTAAAAATCAGGTGGACAATAACCTTACATTGACCTCTGGTCGTGCACACACGTGGCATGACGGCTCACACACCTGTTTCTATACACAACCTCAAGATAAGCTTCAGAATAGTAAACCAGCGAAATTATGAGTTATATCCAAATGAAACTTAGATTTCTCTGTAATGGGTAAATCTAGTTGCTTCATTGGGATACGTTTAAAAATATTTCTGACTATTTTTTGATACTGCCCACTCATTGTGTGGGTGTTTGTTTTGAGACCAAGTACTTTACGTAGCCCTAGTTGTGGAACTCATTGTGTAAACCAAGCTGGCCTTAAAGTCAGACGTTTACCTGCCTCCACTTCCTCAGTGCTGACATGTTTCACCATGCCTGGCCACTTTTATTTCTTATTGTTTTTTTTTCATTTTTATTTATTTTGTTTTTTTAAGATACGGTTTCTCTGTGTTGCTTTGGAGCCTGTTTTGGAACTCACTCTGTAGACCAGGCAGGCCTTGAACTCACAGAGACCTACCTGCTTCTGCCTCCCAAGTGCTGTATATTAAAGTGTATGCCACCACCTCCTGGCTTAGAATAGTGTCTTTGGATTTGACGAACCCTTCAGCTGGAGGAGGAGGGAATGGGGTTGTTTTGATCATGTTTGGGCTTATGCTAAAAGATAAAATGTGATATCATTGAAGGCAAGAGAGATAATTTGTTTTAAGTGTTTTTTAGTGTTGTAAAAATGTAAGAAGCTCTACCTAGGACACACAAAAGCTCCTGGCTTTAATCCCAGATGCCCCCACCAGAAAATGAACAGGGTAGGAAGTCATGGCCCTAGACACATGTATGTTCCGCAAGCCACTAAAAGTGTCTTCTAAGTTGCTTCAGTCCTTATATATATATATATATATATTTCAAAATCTTACTGTTAGTCTCATTTTCTATTAAATTATATCATCTTGTAGATCTTAATTTTATTATTTTGTGTTTCTATGTACGTGTTTATACGTGTTGTCCGAGTCTATGTGGAAAGCAGGACAACTGTGGGATCAGTGTCTAGCATCATCTGGGCTGCTGAACAGTTACTTGTGTCTAAGCCACCCTGCTTATCCCTGCTGGTAGTCTTTGATAACTTCTGATTTAGCCTGAGCGTAGAATGGTAGCTGAGGAATTAACTGTGTCTCTTCATTTAGTTAATCATTGACTTCTCTTACTTTGATTTTCTTTATATCATGTTCTTCTTACATAATTTATTGCCTTTTATTTCATTTTCATGCTGTTCCAACTGTTTTTTTTTTCCAATTTAAATTTGTTCATTCCCACTAGAGAAATACAAGTATTGCTTTTGTCTTCTGTTCTTCTTTTAACCTGTCATTTGATATTCAGTGTTAATCCTCTACTACTACTCCATAGTTTCTTTGGAATTTTTTATATAAACATTACTGATTCTTTTAAACAATAGTGTTATAATAGCATATATTTTATTTAATGTATACAAGTAATTATTTATGTTATTATTTTGAGATAGGCTCTTTCCCAGTCTGATAATCTTCAAGACTTCTGTCTCAGTTTACTGAGCACTGAGGTTCAAAGGCATGTGCCATCACAACTAAATCGCTACCCAGTTTTTGATTGATATTAACAGTCTTTTGTTTATGTGTTCATTTAGGCCCTGGAGATGTACAAGGATGATTGGAATAAAGTCTCAGAACATGTTGGAAGTCGTACTCAGGATGAATGCATCCTCCATTTTTTGAGGCTTCCCATTGAGGACCCATACCTTGAAAATTCAGATGCTTCCCTTGGGCCGCTAGCTTACCAGCCTGTCCCTTTCAGCCAGTCAGGGAACCCAGTGATGAGTACTGTTGCTTTTTTAGCATCTGTAGTTGACCCCCGTGTGGCCTCTGCTGCAGCAAAAGCAGCTTTGGGTATGTACTGTCTGTGTTAGCTACTTCTCCAGCACTAACATCTGACCTCAGATTTGATATTATTGGCCATGAGCTTAAACTTGTTTAAAGTGCCTGCTATGTAAGCATGAGGACCTGAATTTGGCTTTCCAAAGCCCATGTAAGAGCTGGACATTCCAGTATGTGCTTGTAGCATCTGCCCTGGGGCAGAGATGAATGGTGAGACAGTATCTCAGGGAGTAAGATGGAGGAAAAAGTGATAGAGAAAATCTGGCCTGATGTAAACCTGGAGTGCGCTAGTAAGCTATTTTACACGCAAACAGAAACCCACACATACACACTCACAAATGTTTTAATATATGCATATATCTGTTATTATACTCATTTATGTAAATCACCAAAAAGACCCTAAAGATAATGGGCTTCATTAAAAATTATAAATAACCTTTTAAAGTATTCATAGGTTGTAAGTTAAGAGCATTTGTTAAGTTTTCTTCCACTTTTTTAAAGACCTATTTTGTGTGTGTTCGTGCAGTCACCTACCGTGATATATGTCTGAAGGTCAGAGGACTAGCAGTGGAAAGTTTGGTTCTTTCCTCCCCACGTGTGCCTTGTGAATTAACTTAAAACCCTCAGTCTAGCCCCAAGTGCCTTTTCCTGCTGAGCTATCTTGCTGGCCAATATAATATTTCTTTAGAATGGGGGAAGCAGCTAGATGTGATGTCAGACACCTACGAGATGCCAGCTTCTGCCTGGCAGAGGCAAAAGAATCACGACCTTTTGGTTCATCTTAGACTCCTGTGGATCTTGTCTCCTACATACGTATACACACACATTTTCTCCCCTCTCGAATATATAAAGAAAAAGAAATGTTTTTGTGGCATTAGGTGATTAGTAGAGTTAAGGAATGAAACTTACTTTGTATTTTTGTAGTAAATTAATTGTGTCCAAATGGTCTTATGTTAATAGGATTTTTGTCTTTATAGTGGTTTGGTCCTTGGTGATTTTACAACTACCAGTCTAGCCAACACAAAGGTAAAAGTAGGACTGCAGTTTTAATTGTTACCAATAGATCATCAAAAATCTTTAAAAATATATTTAAAAAGTTACTATGATGTTTAGGGTAAAATATTTGATTGATTCATTTTACCTTCTGCCCCAGAGAGTTTATTGCAACAAAACCAATGCTGTTATGCCAGATACTCTGGATCATGTGTAGGAGCACATAGCTATGCAAAATGAAAATGTTATTTTCTTTTTATCTTTAATCAGAGGAGTTTTCTCGGGTCCGAGAAGAAGTACCACTGGAATTAGTTGAAGCACATGTCAAAAAGGTACAAGAGGCCGCAAGAGCCTCTGGGAAGGTGGACCCCACCTATGGCTTGGAAAGCAGCTGTATTGCAGGCACAGGTCCTGATGAGCCAGAGAAGCTTGGTGAGTCACTGCTGTGCCCAGGACTTGGTTACTAGATGTTTATATTCCCTGTCAGTGTGCAAAATAAGAGGATTTGCTTACACTTAAGCGAACAAAATGATTAGTATAAACTTGGCTCTTAAGTTTACTGTATGATTTTTTTTCTCCCCTCTCACATACTTGTGGGGCATGGGACATGATGGCACAGAGAAAGCAAGAACTGAATACAAGCCTGGAAATTGAACAGTATTACAGTTATGACTTTCTCTGTTTTTTGAGTCAGGGTTTCTCTGTTTAACACCTGGCTGTCCTGGAATTCCCTATGTCCTGATTCTTTGTTTAGCACAGTGTTCTCCAGGATCGTACATCGTTCTTTGCTTTGCTGAATAGTGCTCTGAGCATATGTTCAGTGTTAGTTTATTTTTCATCAGCGCATAGACATTTATCCTGTACATTTCTTCTGTTTTTTACTGCTTTTATACTACTTCCAAATAATGATAATCATTTTATACAACCATTTTGTGAACACAGTATTTCTCGGTTCTGTGGTAGTCTGTGTTTAGCTCTCTAAAAAACTGTCAGACATTTCCATTATGCCTGTATATTTGAGGTTCTTACTGGTGTATAGGAGTTCCCATTTCTCAACCTTCTTTTCATCGGTGTTTGTTTTGTATTTGCCACCCTATTGGTTTGAAGTGGATATCTTCATGATTCTCTTGATGAGGATGGATCTTTTACAGCCTCCTGCGCCCCCCGCCCCTTTGTGTGTATGTGTGTGGGGTGTTTGGTTTTCAAGATGGGTTTTCTGGAACGCACTGTGTAGACCGGGTTGACCTCGAACTGTCAGAGATCCGCCTGCCTCTGCTTCCAGAGTGTTGGGATTAAAGGCATGCGCCATCATTTTTTTTTTTTCAGAATACTTTGAATTAAATTTTGAGGTTAGTAGTGTCAGCTCTCCCTCCCTACAATCATCGTGACTGTTCTCATTTGCCTATGCGTGTGAACTTTGTCACTATTGTCAAGTACAGCTTAGAAAGGTCATAATCAGGATTCCATTGTCTGTCTGTATCAAGCTGGAAAAACTCCCTTAATTTCTTCCTTGACCCATTGATGATTCAGGTGAGCATTGTTTAATTTCCATGTGTTTGTGTGTTTTCTGGAATTAGTATTGTTGTTGACTTCTAGTTTTTTTTTTTTTGGCTGTTCTCCAACTTTATTTGAGATTCAGTAGGTTAGTTCTCATCCACATTGACTGTCTGTAGATTTTTGAATGTGGTAACAGGCACGTAAGTTACCAACGTGTAGAGTTTGTTTGGTGAGTCCTCATCCTCATTACGTTTTCTGGACAAACGTACCCGGATACGATATGGAACATTCCTTATTCCTTTGGCCCAGACGGCTTTATTGAGCCTGGTATCAATCCGCACATCTGGAGTCCCCATCTCCTTCATGGCAAATTTCCGGATTTCTTTGAGTGCCCTAGGAGCACGCTTCTTAAAGCCCACGCCATGGATGCGCTTGTGAATGTTGATGGTGTATTCTCAGGTCACCACCTCGTTGATGGCAGAACGGCCCTTCTTCTCGCCACCCTTCTTTGCGGGAGCCATTCTGCCGGGCCTAAGCTGGAAAGGACGGGCGCGAGGGATTCGACTTCTAGTTTTATACCATGGTGATCTGATAAAGTACATTGGGTTATTCCAACTTTTTTTTTATTTGTTGAGGTTTGTTTTGTTACTGAGTATGTGGTCAGTTTTTGAGAAGGTTTCATGAGGTGCTGAGAAGAAGGTATATTCTTTTCTGTTTGGATGGAATATTCTATAGATGTCTGTTAAGTCCAGTTGAGTCATAACATCTGTCAATTCTCTTATTTCTCTGTTCATTGTTTGTCTGATTGGCCTGTCCAGTAGTGAGAGGGGAGTGTTGAAGTCTCCCACTATTAGCCTGTGATATATGATTTAAACTTTAGAAGTGTTTCTTTGACATATGAGGGTAACCTTGTTTTGGGGGTATAGATGTTCAGTATTGAAATTTCCTCTTGATGGATTTTTCCTGTTACTAATATGAAATGACCTTCTTTTGTCTCTTTTGATTGATTTTAGTTTGAAGTCTATTTGGGTAAATATTAGGATAGCTACACCCCCTTGTTTCTTAGGTCCATTTGATTGGTATATTTTTTTCCCAACCCTTTACTCTGAGACGATGTCTATCTCTGAGGTTGAGATGTGTTTCTTGTATGTAGAAAAAGGATGGATTCTGTTTTCATATCCAATCTGTTAGCCTGTGCCCTTTTATAGGTGAGTTGAGTCCATTTATATTAAGGGATATTGATGACCAGTGATTGCTGTTTCCTGTTAATTTAGTTTCCATTGTTGGTGATGTTAATCTGTGTTTTCCCTTTCTTTGGGATTTGCTGCTATGAGGCCATCAATTTTCTGTGTTTTTTGTTGGTGTAGCCAACTTCCTTGGGTTGAAGTTTTCCTTCTAGTAATTTGTGTAGGGCTGGGTTTGTGGCTAGGTATTAGTGGAATCTAGATTTGTCATGGAATATCTTGTTTTGTCCTTCTATGGTGATTGACAGTTTTGCAGGGTATAGTAGTCTGGGCTGGCATCCATGGTCTCTTTATGTCTGCATAACGCTTGACCACAACCTTCTGGCTTTCACTGTCTCCACTAGAAGTCAGATGTAATTCTGATAGGTCTACCTTTGTATGTTACTTGACCTATTTCCTTTGCAGCTCTTAATAGTCTTTCTTTACTCTGTATGTTTAGTGTTTTATTATGTGCGAGAGGACTTTTTACTTGGATCCAGTCCTGCTTACTCCCTCAGAGGTCCCAGACTCTCGTTCAGACCTGCAGAGGTTCAGGTTCCTGCCTGTTCCCTTTGATGTCCCAGATCAATGTCTGGACCCACAGAGGTGTCCTGGCTCAGGCCTCCTCCGTCTGAGGACCCAGATTCACGCCTGGCCATGCTGAGATATCTGGTTCTTGCTTATTCCCTCAGAGGTGCCAGGTTCACTCCCGCCCAGACTGTCAGAGTTCCTGGCTCAGGCCTAGTTCTTGAGAGATCCTAGACTCAGGCCTAGACCCACTGGGGTTCTGGCCTTAGGTCTACTCCCTTGAAGGTCCCAGGTTCACATCCGGACCCTCAGCAGTCTCTGGCTCTGGCTCACTAGCTCAACGGTTACTCCCCTGTACCTGTTCCAGTGAGATCTCTGACTCTGGGATGTGTTTGCTGGCTCAGTCCTGATCCACAGTGTCCTGGAACTGGGTTGGCTTCTGGAGCTGTATTTGCTCCTGTCTTCTGCTCCCAGTGGAGCTTGTTTGCTCTCTGTCCTAGGTAGTCACACCTACTTTTATAGTGCTGGGACATTAATGCAGAGCTTGTGCGTGTGAGCCAAGTACTTCACCATCTGACCGGTTAGCCCCCTTCATTCCTTTGGTAGCCGAGCAGTACCTGCTGTGCTGACACACTGTAGTTACATACACATTCACTAGCTGGTAGGCTTGATTCGTTTCCTTTTTCAGTCATGAGCTTTTCCTTTTAATTTCTCATTACTGATTAGATAGCATATGAAATGGATAAATTATGGGTAGATATAAGCCAAAAGGGGCTTATACAAAATTAAGAAAAATTCCCAGGCAGTGTTTGTGCAAGCCTTTAATCCCAGCACTTGGGAGGCAGAGGCAGGTGGATCTCTGAGTTCGAGGCCAGACGGGTCTACAAGAGCTAGTTCTAGGACAGCCAGGGCAAAACACACATACTATACACAAAACCAAACAACACAAAATTAAGAAGAATTTACAGTGTTTCTCCAAATATTTAAATTGTGAGGATAATTTTTAAGTCATTCTTTGGCTGTAATTTCCAAATGTCAAAACTAAACAAAGATATCACAAGGAAAGGATAACACATACATAAACTAATCTTTTTTTTTGTTGTTGTTGTTTTGACACAGGGTTTTTCTGTAGCTTTGGAACTAGCTCTTGTAGATCAGGCTGGCCTCGAACTCACAGAGATCCGCCTGCCTCTGCTGGGATTAAAGGCGTGTGCCACCACTGCCCGGCACACAAACAAATCTTTAAAAGAAAAATCCTATAAATCCTATGACTCAAGAGTTTTTCAAGTTTTTATCTGTTGTCACCATGGTGTGCAGTGGCACAGCAGAACTACTGACTGGAGCTTAGTGACCATTGACCGACCTTCCCCAGTTCTACATAGCCTGAGCTCTGGGACCTGTCCTTGCCCCCTCAATTTCTGTCAGGCTAGCTTTTTACAATTTTATTTTATTTTATTTTGGTGTATGTGTCTTTGTGTGTGATATGTTTAATGTTAGTACATGCTTGTATCCCTGTGTTTATGGAGGCCAGAGGACATCAGGTTTCCTTTCCTTCCTGTCATGCGACTTACTGTTAATCTACGGCCATAGTATGTATTTAGACAAATGCCATTTTGTTTTCAAGTTATTTTTGTTCATTTATTTCAAATTAAGTTGTAGGTAGTGTGTGATTCTTTGGACCTTTAAGTAGTTTGCATGTGTTTTATAAAAATAAGTATAGTTTTCTTCAATACCTAGCATAATGGTGTGAATCTAAGTAGTTTTTTGATTTTTGAGATAGTCTTTCTCTTTATCCCTGACTGTCCCTGAGTTCATTTTGGAGTTGTGTGTATTTGTGTTTATATGTACATGTGAGTGCAGGTGCCAGGGGACTCCAGAAACAGAGTGTGGCATCTCTTGGAACTGTAGTTATAGTTAGATATGAGCCACCCTTTATGGGTGTTGAAAATTAAATTCTCATTCTTTGAAAAAGCAGTTGGTGCTTTTAACCACTAAGCTGTCTCTTTACTCCCCTCCCAACACCCATCTCTTAACACTTTTTGTGTATCAAGGGGCACAGAGGGAAAATTGCGGCAGTCAGTTCTCTCCTTTCACCTTGTGGGTCCTTAGGACCTAGCTCAGGTTATCTGTCGGTGGCAGTTTATCAGCTGAGCCATCTTACAAGATGTAGCCATTTTTTTAAGGACAAACTTCCTCAAGGAGGATGGAATGAGCAGGAGTCAGTAAGTCAATAAGGATCTGGTCTGTCAGACATTTTATTGTAAATTCTGCTTAGATTTATTTGGTCACAAGTTTTTAGTGTCTGCAGCTTTTTTTCTTTAGAGAATCTTGACGTGTTGAGTTGTTTTGACAAACAGGATGATCATCAAGAGTCTTTGTATCATACAGCCTGTATGAGTAAGCAGGCCTTGAGTCAGTCCTCAGAGTTATATGGAGAAGGCCCAGCTTGATCAGTTAGAGGGTTAAAAACTTGTTTCCAAACCAGGCATGGTGTTAGAAACTTCAATTCCCAGCACTCAAGGCACAGGCAGGTGGAACTGCCTGTGTTCGAGGCCAGCCTAGTCTGCTTGAAGTATAGACTAAAATCTTATGAATAGTTCATAATTGAGATTTTAACCATTAAGGACTAGTGAAGATTTAAGTAATCCTGATAATTTTACTTTTAGGGGGGGGTATAATTTCTGTTATGGAGACTATTGTGTCAAATTAGGCACTTTGTTGACTATATATATATATATATATATACACACACACANACCCATATACTTTCTTGACTATATATATATATATATATATACACACACACACACACACACACACACACCCATACCTCTTGCTATGAAGTATTTGTGTCAAGTAAGAGAACATACAGAATTGTCTAATGAGACTGACTTTTATGTTCAGTTGTACATGGTTCAAAAACAATCATTCTAGCATTGGAGGATTTCTGGGTAAAACAAAAGCACATAAATAATTATTCAAGGAACACTATGCATAGGAAGTAGTGCAAGAGTAGATGTCATTTTAGACTGAGGAATGCTTCCCATGGGTAGTGGGTTTGAGCTGAATGTTGGGACCATCTAGAATGTCCCAAGAGCAGGTTAAGGCAAGTGCTCTTTTTTAATGAACAGTGAGGGAGAAATGGAGAGGACTTTGTTCAGAGAGTGGGAAATAAACCTGGTAGCCACAATACAACATTCTTATTCAGATATGAAAAGAGTAGTCCACAATTTTAGTGCAGTTAAGAACATAAAGTGGTGACAGGCTCATGTGGTGTATACTGTTTATTAGTTGAGCGGTACTTACATTTAATGTGGAGAACGACACCTAGAGTCTCCATGTACAGAGTTCCGGTCATTCAGTGCAGCCTTTCCTCTTCTTCCTCACAAGACTGAACTTACTGGTGTCTTGAAAGAGACCAGTTACCAAAGATACTTCATGTTTTAGAAAGCAGAGCCTCCAGGGCTGAACTAACATGTGTGAGCTATGACTTCATCTGTAACACCTTTTTAAAGTTAGAGACAAATCTAAAGCCATCACTGGAACATGTTGCTTTAAGTGGCTGCTCATCATGCAGGTTTTTCTAAAACCACAACTCCACATATGTGAAAAAGAGTGAATGAGGAAACACAAATAACACTAGTTTTATGGAAACTGCTTTTTCTTTGGAGGCTCCAAGAGCTTCTGGACCACATTTTTTAATAATTGAAATAAATAAGCATTACCTTGAAGAGTATTCAGTTTGAGGGTGGGGAACACACAAAGATACTGAGATGTGACTAGTGTTATTTTAATAGCTTCATACTTTTTGTTTTATTTATGCTATAGCATCCCTTTGTGTCTGTAAATAGAGGTAGAGGTTTCTGTCCTACCCAGTCTGCAGCTATTCTCCCTATGAAACACAGAGGCTTATATTAATTATAAAGCGTTTGGTCTGTTAGCTCAGGCTTATTATTAACTAGCTCTTGCAACTTAAATTAACCCATAATTCTTATTTGTGTTTAAACATGTGTCTTGATACCGTCTCTCAGTGAGGCATTCTCATCTTGCTTCCTAGTCTGGTTGCCCCACCTATACTTTCTGCCTGGCTACCGACCAATTGGCATTTTATTAAACCAGTAATAGTGACAGATCTTTTCCGTGTACAAGATCATTATCCCACAGCGTGTGTCTCATACGGTCATTTTCTCCATGTCATCTTTTATACTCTGCTATCATGACTCTTTCAGCTTGAAATTTTCATAAATATATGCAACTTATCTTGCTCATCCCCCTACCTCCAATTCTTGTCACCCTAAATATATCTCCCTCACTAAAATATATACACATGTATGTATACATACATCCCCTTGCTAGATTCAATGTAGCATACCTTTAATCCCAGCATTCGGGAGGCAGACCGGAGGAGGATCTCTGATTTCTGGCTAAACTGGTCTTCATAGTTTGGCCACAGCAATATAGTAAGATGCTATATCAAAGAAAGAAAAGCATAAATAAATACCATATAAGCTCTCTAAGTTTAAATAAATGCTACTTATATGAGCATAGTTTGCCACTGTCTTAGGACCACATTTTCTAAGTTTTTAGGCAGCCCTGTACAAGAATTGAAGCATAGGTATTCTTTCTTTCCTTGAACTTGGCTAGACCAAAGGGGTTACATGTTGATAATATTGCTCCTTTCAAGTCCTGGTCTTGGCATGATCTGGTGCTGCTTCTGGTACTATGGTTAGAGCTTTTGGGACGGTATCAATCAGTAGCTACTTGTCAATCATTACTTTGGAAACAAAGACATTGGTGTATTCATGCTCAAAAACTAGACAATAGTTTTCCTAATCAGTAGCTTTGAGCACTGCTTTTGTGATGTTGTTAATAAGCCTGTTTAAAGTGTTTAAATCCTCTTATTGATGATAAATGCTTGCATATACAATGGGATAATATAAATTTCAATATTTAGAGGGTTTAAACCCTTTTATTAAAAAATGTGACATACTCTTATTACCTTTAAGAATGTTTGCCTGTTTTTGTTTAAAAGGATATTTTCTATAATGTCTTCTTTTTTCCCTCTACACCCTCTCCACATACATTGACATCAGATCATGTTCTTCCTTAATTCTAATAGAAAAATCTTTTTTTTTTAATATTTATTTATTTATTATGTATACAATATTCTGTCTGTGTGTATGCCTGAAGACCAGAAGAGGGCGCCAGACCTCTTTACAGATGGTTGTGAGCCACCATGTGGTTGCTGGGAATTGAACTCAGGACCTTTGGAAGAGCAGGCAATGCTCCTAACCTCTGAGCCATCTCTCCAGCCCAAAAATCTTTTTTTTTTTTTTAAATCATGTTATATAAAGGATAGATTCTGTTAATAGCATGCCTAGTGTACATTGTTATTGCACTTCTGACCAGGTGTTCTTCAGTTGTCATGGCTCCTTAGAAGATGCTCGTGCCATTATTCGTACTTCTGTGGCAGAGGCAGGTTACGTCCTTGTGTGCTGTGATAGACTTCTGGTCTCCCTGGCCAGAGTTAGATGCGCTTGTGGTTTCAGCACATATAGGACTAAGCAGTGTTTCTGTGGGTCCCAATTGAAATATGTACTCATTAAATGTTTAAATATTTTAAAAACTTTTATTACTATGTACAGAAAATTCACATGAGCATAGTATATTTCCTAAACCTTTCCCCATCAACAACCCTAGATGAAGAAACATTCGTAGCATCATTCCAGACCCTCTGCACTGAACCTGCTGTCTCCTCTGCCTTTCCCTCCTTAGTTACCACTGTCCTGACTTTGATGACATTTCTTACTCTCACACCCTTATTCCTTCCCCATCTAGTGTTTGCTATGTATGCTTGAAATCTTTTGCCACCAGGAGGGTTGAGTAATTGCAATGCATAGATACATATTACAGATGCTCTACAATACACTGACTTTTACCTATTTCTGTATTGTTTTTATTCCTTCACTTGTAGAAGGGTCTGAAGAAGAAAAGATGGAAACAGATTCCGATGGTCAGCAGCTTGAAAAGGTAAAGGCTATTCAGATGTTGCATCAGAAAAACCGTACAGGGTCTTTTTAGTTTACTGGTTTTCAGATTCTGTGATAATGTCAGGTCACCTTCAGGACCACCCTGGGTTTTCTTTAAGGTGTAGTTCTGGCTAAGCTTAATGTAGGCTGAATTCCATTGATTCTTTGCTAGAGTTTTGTCCACTCCTTGCCCTCCTTGGTACCCTGTTGAGGCACAGTTGGGAGTATGAATACAAAAGTTGTTTATTGTGAATATTGAATTGTAGGACCTGGAAGTTATACTTGTACCAGAAGAGAATTTCAGAATACTAAATGACTTTTTAGGAGAATTTAACTGCCGACAGAAGAATACTTAGTAAAGAATTTATGAGGAGCTGGCCTTTGGGGTAGATTTTAAAGAGTGAAAACTGGCAAGATTGAAATGGAGGGCCAGGATTCAAAGCCTGTGAATGTCACCTAAGTGTCCATGTCACTGCCTGTCCCTGTTCATAGGGATGGTACTGAATGTACAGCCTCTTCAAGGGCGACCTTGATGTGTGTATATTATTAGTGACTTCAGTCGCTGTGAGTGAATATACATGAATGGGATTTAAGGTCTTGATTATATGTGTTGGATGAAATTATAAAGAAAGGCTACAGTTAATATAGTTGGATAAAATTACAACAGTGTTACAGTTATCAAAGAGTTATTCTAATTTGTTATTTCATTTAATTCTTTTATTTTGGGTTGCTTTCTTTTGTAGGTGGGTTTTTTTGTTTTTTGTTTTTTTTTTTTTTGATTTTTGTTTTTTGAGACAAGGTTTCTCTGTGTAGCCCTGGCTATCCTAGAACTCACTTTGTAAACCAGACTGGCCTCAAACTCAGAGATCTGCGTGCCACCCCCGGTCTCCCACCCCCCACTACCCAACTTGTGGGTTGTTTCTGTTAGGACATAGTCGCACTGTGAACCTCTGGCTGACTGGAACTCACTGTAGTCCAGTTATCCTCAGACTTACAGATCTCTACCTGTGCCCATCTCCTGCGTGCTGAACCCTGCACTCTACCTTAATCTAGTTTATTTTTAATTGGTGTATGTATGTGTTTTGCTTACATGTATGTCTGTATCACTTGCATGCCTGGTGCCTAAGGAGGCCAGAAGAGGGCATCTGGTTCCTTTCATCAGGTTTCCTCTGGCACTGGCAGTCGCGTGCTTTCACCCACATCAGTTCCTAGTACCCATGAGGGCCTGCCTGCAATTTTAGCCTCAGTAGGCAGAGATAGGTCCCCAAGCAGGCTGACTTGGGGATATTTGCCAATGTCAACCATAGGCCCCTCATGCGTGTGCAAACATGCATGCATATATCACACATGAAGAGGGGACTACGACAGAAATCATCTGTATCTTTGTGTAGTTTTTATGTTTTGTTTTGTTTACTCAATAAATGATGTTATCTACTGGGAGATGTAGTATCCCATGAGCACACAGGTTTTGAATTGGTTATAAAGATGCATCTCAGAGTTTGCTGGTTTCTTTTCTAGGTCTTCTTTACTAGGCCCTTCAGAATTTAGTCTGTTTTTGGCAAAAGTAGTGAAACCTGTTGTCAGCTTACGATGTTTTCACTCCTTAAAGGACTTCTTCACTCATTCCCTGTTCTTGTTTTCTACTACTTTTAGGCTGAAAACAAAGTGGAAAATGAATCGGATGAAGGTGATAAAATCCAGGATGGAGAAAATGAAAAAAGCAGTGAGAAGGAACAAGATAGTGAAGTTAGTGAGGATATCAAACCAGGTGACTTGGGCCAGAGCTTCTGAGAGCGCTTTAACCTGGGACTCACAGACAGCGAGGAAGTTCTGGTCATTGGTATAGAAATACCCTGTAGTTGGAACTTTCTTTAGACTGTCAGCCAGCTCCCAATAAAGACATGGAGACTTATTATTAATTATGAATTCTCAGCCGTAGCTTATGCTTGTCACACTAGCTCTATTAATTTAACCTGTCTCTGTTTTGCTTCAGGACTTTCTGTCTTTCATTCTGTCTATATGTCCTACTTTCCTCCTTCCTCCACGGCTGCTGGCTTTTTCTTTCTTCCCTGAGCCTAAATTCCTCTTCTTTATTCTCCCTGGCTATTGGCCATTCAGCTTTTTATTATACTAATCAAGTACCTTAGGCAGGCAAGTTAAAAATGCAACACATCCTTACATAACTAAACAACTGTGCCACCTCTTTACTAGTTAGACAAATATTCAGGAGCATAAACAAATGCAACACAACCTCACGTAGTTAAATGATCCATAACACTCCTTTATTTTATTTTTATTTTTTTTATTTTTATTTTTTTTTTTTTTGGTTTTTCGAGACAGGGTTTCTCTGTGGCTTTGGAGCCTGTCCTGGGACTAGCTCTGTAGACCAGGCTGGTCTCGAACTCACAGAGATCCGCCTGCCTCTGCCTTCCGAGTGCTAGGATTAAAGGCGTGCGCCACCATCGCCCGGCTCATAACACTCCTTTAAAATATTATTTTTAAAGTATTTTTTCCCTATTGTTAGTAGGTTTGTTTTGTTTACTTGTTTGTTTGTTTGCTTGTTTGTTTGACTGGGTCTCCCTACGTATAGCTCATGCTGGCCTGGAACTCAGACATCTGCCTACCTCAGCTTCCTATGCATTTTTAACTTTTTAAGATTTTATGTGCATGGGTGTTTTACCTATATGCCTGTCTTTGTAGCACGTGTGCATTACCCTTGGAACTGGTGTTCTAGACCATTGTTAGCTGGTGTTCAGGTGCTGAGAATTGAGCTGTGGTCCTCTGGGAAGAGCAGTCAGTGAGTGCTCTTAACCACTTTGCTCTCATCTTCTGTTTGTTGTTTTGAAACAGTGGCTAGAATAGCCCACGCTGACCTGAAACTGAATATAGAGCTGATGCTGGTTTTGAATTCCTGATCCTCCTGCCTCTTCCTTTTAAGTACTCTGATCAGGCTTGTGCCTCCTTGCGGACTTGCTTTATTCACTTTTGGTCTGTTGGGAAGGTGATTGAGTCTCGGTCACTGTACACACTGTATCGTGGACCATAATCCTTGGTCCTGCTTGTTTGTTTGTTGTTGTTTGTTTACTTTTAAGTTTTTCAGGCTGGCTCTTACTAAGTTTCCCAAGCTAGCCTTAAATTCTCTCTATGATCTAGGCAGTCTCTGTACTTGCTTTTTTTTAGTCCGAGCCTCTAGAGGAGATGTTGTTACAGGTTTCCAGAGCACTAAATAAAGGTTTGGTACCACATTCCTGGCCCTTGGGTTTTATTCAAGAGTTAGATACCAGTACTTATTCTGGAAGCTGCTCTTCCATGTTTGTTTTTAATAGACATTAAGCAATTTATTCACAAGCTTTTAAATTCCCTAGTTCTTTGGTCTCTCTGTGTCTGTGTCCTATTTTTCCCCTTTTTTCTTTTGGGGGTGTCGCTTTGTCTGTCTGCCCGATTCCTGACACTGTATTCTGTCTGTTGTTTCAGCCATCGTGTCTGTCTCCCCCTTGAGGAGGACTGAATTGGTGTCTGATTTCATCCAGACTCAGGCTGGTCCTCCCATCATTCTGCCGCTTAATGAAATGTGTGCATCTTAAGCTATGCTTCCTTGAACTTACCTTTATGTCCAAGGAAATGTACACAGAGCTGAGAAAGATGACACAAAGACAGAGTGTACCACTTTAAAATATCCCTGACAGGTGTGCACTTACTTGCAGGGGCAATCGACTGAAACTCTTAAATAGAAAAGGGCATTGAAACCTCTTTGTAGCTTCAGTCCTAGTTGATCGTGGCAAAAGTGGTTAAGATGGGTTATTGAGACCTGAGTACACTTGTAATAAAGCTTTTAAAAAAATATTTTCAGAAGAAAAGGAGAATGACGAGACCAAGGAACTCACTGATCCGTGTAAAGAAAGAGAAAGCGATACTGGGAAGAAGAAAGTGGAACACGAGATTTCTGAGGGAAATGTGGCCACAGCCGCAGCAGCTGCTCTCGCCTCAGCTGCTACCAAAGCCAAGGTTTGCCCCAACAGCCCCTTCCCGTGCTCTCTTAAGCCATGAATGGTCATATTGTTTTTAGTTAATTGGGAACATTTAGTATAGAGAACCTCTCTCCCGGCAGGAGGTGACTGTTTGCTTGAATGGCATTTCTAGGTTAAGAAATCCCCAGGCAGGAGGAGGGTGTTGAGTAGATCCGGTCCTAAGGGGTGACAGTTTTCCTTCCATTCATTGTTGCCTTTAGCTTTGTGAAGGCAGCCAATTGAAGGCATAGTTTGAATTCCCCTTAGGGCTCACCTTTATCTTTTCATTTTTAATTTGCCTATTGAACTCGTCTTATACCATTGTTGCAGTAATTTTTACCAAACTGAAATATTTATGATTTTAAGACAAAAATCTGCTTCTTTGTTTTTAATACTTCATCATGATATTACAGACTGAAAAGAGAGACCCTAAAATAGCTTTTTCTACTTGAATTTGCCAGCTTTTCTGGGGGTGGATTTTTCTATTTATAACATGGTCTCGGCTGCACTGCATATTTAAGAAGACTGGGAAATGTTATTTTCCCACGCTTTGTGTTATTTTAGCATTTTAAAGCATTCTGAAGATGAATATATGAAATTTTTTAAAAAATCATCCATTTCTTCCTGAGTGGATTTCTTCCATTATAATTTACCAGATCTCAAAGACCAGCAGTGTCTAGAATTTTCCTCATCATCTATCTTGAATATTTCTTTCCATGTCGATACAGATGTTCTTTCCTAGTCCTTCCCACCACTCTGCTGTTGTGAACTACTCTGTGTGAGCTGTAAGGTGTGAGGCATAGCAGAGAGTTTCTGCACCTCTGACCTGGGTGAATACAAATCCTCTGAAGACGATGTCTTCATCACAGGCCATGGGGGTACTCAAATACCTTAGGCACATTCCTGGTTTTTACTACAGTAGCCCTAAATCCTGCATATATATTCCTGCTCATGTTTTTCAAAGATACTTTATAAGCTATATGCTTTTTCTCACCCATCTTACTCCAGCCTGCTTCTACCTCCCAGAGCTGGGATTAAAGGTATACATCACCATGCCTGGCTTTCTTAGGAGTCTGGGGCATGTTCTTACATAATACTAATGTAGGTACCAGTTTGTTGCTTTCCTTTTCTCTAGTTGGGAACAGTTTTCTTTTTTCACTTTTTTCACTTGGATTATTTGGACATCATCTCCTATCTGAATTGTTGGGAATTCTGATTGTGTTGTTTTGAGACAGGGTGTGACTATAGCCTTGATGACCCGCCCTCCTCTGAATGCCGAGGTTAAAGGTCTGCTCTACCACACCCAGATGTATTTGAATTCTTATTAACACTGTCTTTGGGGGTTACCTCATCGGTATAACTCATTGGTATAAATTAGGAAAACTACAAAAGTGCCCTACCTTTCTCAGTCTTTAAACCTGTAGCTTTGCTCTTTGATTCCTTGGTCTTAGGTTTTCCCTGACTTTTCTTGTGCTGTGTGTAATAGCCCTGTCTCCACTATCCAGTTAATCTGGCATGCAACCAAAATGGTCTGTTTATTTGGTGTGGGTTTAGTTTGGTTTGGTTTGATTTTGGTTTTTCGAGATAGGGTTTTTCTGTGGATTTTTGGTTTTTCGATACATGGTTTCTCTGGGTAGTTTTGGTACTGGTCCTGGTAGCTCTGTAGCCCAGGTTGGCCTCAAACTCAGAAAGACCTGCCTGTCTCTGTCTCCCAAGTGCTGGGATTCTACCCTGCATTTTTTTTTAACTCGTGTGTGTGTGTGTGTGTGTGTGTGTGTGTATCTGTGTGTATCTGTGTGAGTGTACTGCATTTGTGTTGGGTGTCCCATTGAGATCAGAGGCATTGAATTTGGGCGCTCTGGAAGAGTAGGACACATTCTTAACTGCTGAGTGTTCTCTCAACAATGTTTTTTCCATTTCTTTTATATGTATGGCTTTTTTACCTGCATGTGTATCTGGATCGTGTGTTTGCATGCAGCACTAGAACAGGTTATCTGGTCCCCTATATCTGGACTTGAGATAGTGGTGAGTCACTGTGTGGGTGCTGGCAAGTCAGGGTCCTCTGCAAGAGCAGCCAGTGCTCTTACCACTAAGTCATCTGTGTCTGTCTGTCTGTCTGTCTCTCTCTCTCTCTCTCTCTCTCTCTCTCTCTCTCTCTCTCTCAAGTACTTACATTGAAATAAGTGGGAGAGATAAGCCTTCAACTCTGAATTTTTCATAAATGATTTCACCCATGTAAGCAGCCACAGCTCTGTTATGGAAAAATTAAAAATGCTGCAGGATCCCCGGAGGCAGTAGCAGGCAGCAGAAATGCTTTAGGTCACCAAGCAGTGGTAGCCTGAGAGCAGCCAGTCCCAGGCAGAGAAGGCCGCCCAACCCCAAGCAGTGGTTGGTCCCAGGCAGGGAGACACGTGGTGGGTGGGCAAAAGACAGACATGGATAGGCATGCCATGCAGAGTGAGCAGAGTGAGGTTGGATATTATTCAGGGGGTTATGGAGGGGGAAGGGAGAAGAGGAGAAGAAGAGAGAGACAAAGAAGGGGGAGTGTTGGAGGGAGTTGGCATGCCTTGTCTCTTAAAGAGACAGCAGAGTCATTACAAGCTCCAGAAATTTGATGTTACTGCTAGCCAGGAGCTTCCATACGTCCCTTATGTTTAATGTACTCTCCAGCTTATCTCTTGGTTCTAGTTTTTATTTTTAATTTTATATTTATTGTTATGGGGGGGTGTGCACAAGTACTTGTGTGTATTGTGCAGTCACAGTGTATGCTTTTGAGGATCAGAGGATGACTTTAGGATTTTGGGTTTACAGAATTGGTTCTCTCCTTTAATCATATAGGTCCTGGATATCAAAGTCAGGCCATTAAGATTTGTGACACACTTCATTAATCAGTGAGCCATGTCAAAGCCCTCTTTTCTTCACATAAATATAATGTTATATAATAACAGTTTTTGAAAGTTAAATTCTTAGGAAAATGTTGATTAATGAAGAATTACTGCTTGTTTTTTTTTTTTTTTTTTAAACCATAATCTAGGGTCCTACTATGTAGGATGTAGGCCAGGCTGGCTTTCATGTCAAGACCTTCCTGCCCCGCCTACTGATAGTTCAGATTATAGGCATATGCCTGTCTTGAAGAAATATTTTCTTCAGTAGCCTCCCTATCTGTCCCTCAACTAAAATTTGAAATGCTTCAGTAGGTGATTCAGAATTGTTTTATGATTGGGACTTTTATTTAGTTTTAAGCCTCTTTCCTTATATATCCTTAGGAATTATTTTGTTTTTCGTGGTTCTAAAAAGCAGAACCTAGCATTTCTACCCGTTTTCCTCCTGGAGCATGGTTTCTGTCTCTTCCATCCTATGCTTTAAGATATTTTATATAATAAGAAAATAAAATTCTAGACTATTTATTCTGTTCTGCACCAGGGACTGGGGCTATTAGTTTCCTTTTATTTATACAAACTATATCATACGTCCCCAGGACTGCTGTTCGGTGCAGGTGAGAATGCTGTAAAGAGCTGTGTTGGTCACTCAATCTGTATTTGCTCATCATAACCATTTTTCCAAAAACTAGGAATCTGGTCCACTGTTTAATCCTGTACTGTCCCTCCACAATACAGGTTTTCTGTGTGTAGTTCTCACTGTCCTAGAACTCATTGGGCAGACCTCAAACTCAGGAATCCACCTGTCTCTGCCTCCTGAGTTTTGTGATTATCGAGGCTTCTAGTGTTTGTGATTAAAGCAAATTTCCCACTAATGTGACAAATGTGCAAATTGTTCATGCTGTATACATTGCACGTGTGAGTTGAGTGCCTTATAGTTATATCTGATACAACTCACAGCACATAATCATTTTTGTGTTACATGGTAATCAGGGGCAAGGGACTCACTTAAATTACTGTAATTAGCAAAGCCTCACTAAGCCTTCCAAGTTTTTCTTACTCTGGCTTTGTTTTTCTGTGTCTATAAACAGCCTTGTTATTCAGTGTTTGTCACCCCGTGCATGGAGAGGTGATTAATTAGAGTTTCGGCATCTAGCTCTTACCCAGACGAGGTGGGTGACTTCTGCCTTTTCACAAGCCTCGCCATGTTGTATCCTTTCAGGAACGTCCATGTTCGCATCCACTGTCAAGCTGTGATGGCCAAGCCTGCACTAGGACAGTGGGAGCGTGAGCATGCGTATCCACACATGGCTGTGTCCTCTGGGTTTCCTTTCATCTGGGTGTTGAGATTAGAAGAGGGGGTTGAAAATTATCTTTGGAATAAACTAGAAATCTCAAACCCAGGATATATTAGGTTTTTTTCCTTCAAGAATAATATATTCATTTCACTCAAAGTCTTTTATATTTGCCTCAGATTTCTTCAGTATTGACCATACAGACCAAAATGGCAAGCATGGATTTGATTTGAGTTCATGAAAACTGAGCCACAGAAAACTGTTTTCTTACCCCTTGTGTAAATATCCATCATAACTGTTCCATATGTCTGTCACAAGGATTGGTTGATGAGTTCTTAAACTTTATGGATTGAGTCTTGGATGTCATCATATCTCTGTTTAACACTACTGTACATTGGTGACCCAAGAAAAAGTTGGCCTATTAGACTGTTTTTTCTGCAATTAGCCCTGTCCACTTTCATCCTTGTGTGAGTCAAGAGAAATTACTTCTACCTATTGGAATCCCTGCCTCAAACCTCTGACAGTGAAGTGGCTACTTGGTTTTCCTTACTTGTCTCTTCGGTGGTTTTCCCGCATTCCATATACCTTCTGTGGCGTGTCTCCAGTCTGCTCACATCAGGCTTTATTAAGTCAATTTTTGAGTAGCTGCGTGCTTCCTCTAATACCTCTATGGATCCCCATGGTTGGTCTGTTATTATGTCTGTCCTAGATACACATCTTAAGAGTCAGCACTGTCCTTGATGTGATCTTTCTAGATCTCTGCATCTGCTAGAGCATGTCCTTCACCTTCGTTGGCTTGTACAGGAAGGAAAACTTTTCAACTCTTGACTTCTGAAACATGTAATAAATACTCCCCATTGACTAGCTGCTGTACATGACTCTAAATTTAATTTCATTATATATCAAGAGTTTTGAATATATACAATAGCCTGTTTTAGTTGTTTGGTTTTGGAGATAGGGTTTCTCTGTGTTTCTCTGACTCTCCTGGAACTCCATCTGTAGAGCAGGCTGTCCCCAAACCCAGAGATCCACCTGCCTCTGTCTCTCAAGTGCTGGGATTAAAAGCATACACCACCTCTTCCTGACAAGAATTGGGGGGGGGGGGGTTAGGTAAATTATAATATAATTACAACATGTCTCCCTTTCCTTCTCCCCAGACCCTCTGAGATGCCCCTCCTTGCTCTTCCAAATTCATGGCCTCCTATTATTTGTTATTATATGCATATATGTACACACATGTATATTCCTAATGTTACCTGTTTGTATGTCAGAACCTAGTTTCACCATCACAACTGCTCAACAGTGCTAAACAGTGAAAGCACCAATATACAAGTCCAAATGACTCAGCCTGACACAACAAAACTACAAAATCACATTTGAATTGATACCTTTTTTTATAACTTGTTTATTGCCTTTTTGGTACACTGAGATTTTTCTGGGTTTTGTCCTTAAATTTCTAATTTTACTGATATTTTAATCTTTTTTCGTGCTTGATGCCCTTTCAGCTTGCAGGTATGTGATCTGCATATTTGAGGGAACGTGTTTTAACATTGTGCATTTAATAATATTTAATAATTCATTCCTACATAAATCTCGGGGAGACAGAATATTTTCTGCTAAAAGCTGTAGTTTTCAGTGAGTCAGAGTCATGCAGAATAGGTAGAACTTAGTGAGACCTTTTTCTTATAGGAAGAACAAAAAGGAAGAAGGAATTTTTTTTTTTTTTAATTGAACATCTGTTTGTAACTTTTCAAGTTTTTTTTGGGGGGGGGTTTGAGGCAGGGTTTCTCTGTAGCTTTGGAGCCTGGCCAGGAACTAGCTCTTATAGACCAGGCTGGCCTCAAACACAGAGATCCACCTGCCTCCTGAGTGCTGGGATTAAAGGCGTGCACCGCCACCACCCGCTTTAACTTTTCAGTTTTCTGTCATGTCCATAAGTTTATTTTTCAAAAATAAATGAGCCAATAAGATGACATCATGGATAAAAAGATTTTGCAGGCCTGGGTCCAGTTCCATTTCAAAAAGAGAACTTCCTAAAGTTGCCCTGTGACCTTCATTCATCTGTACCTGCAAAATTATAAATTACATAGTATAGTACTCGTCATAGTGATAACCAGCTTTAGTTTTCTTGAATATTTTTGACCATAATGTGTGTCGTGAAAGATTTAAGTGCACAGGTATAGGAACATATCAGCTTTAATTTCGATGTCTCCACAGATTGTTCATGACACTGCATTGTGGTTATGTGTAAAAGAATGGCAGTTGAGTCCAGTGCGGTAGCTGGGGGTTAATGACACACATTGCTCTTACAGAGGACTCCAGCTCTGGAAACTCTGATCTCCTCTTCTGGATACCAAGAATACTGTATACAAGTGTTCACACTAGGACTGGAGAGATAGCTCAGTGGTTAAGAGCACTGGCTGTTCTTCCAGAGGTCCTGAGTTCAATTCCCAGCAACTACATGGTGGCTCACAACCATCTGTAATGAGATTTGGTGCCCTCTTCTGACAGAACATGATATAAATAATAAATAAATCTTAAAAAAAAAAAACAAAGCAAGTATGCAGACTGGCAAGCTGACATTTACATGTAGATGTAATTTTTTTAAATAAAAAATCTTGGTGTACATGGTTGTGCTTGTCCCAGAAGCAAAGGCAAGAGGATCTCTGAGTTCAAGGCCAGCCTGGTCTACAGAGTGAGTTTTAATAAAGCCAGGGATACTTTGAGAAACCCTGTTTCAAAAAAAGCAAATAAAATAAAATAATTTTTTTTTTGTTTTTTTTTGTTTTTTGTTTTTTGAGACAGGATTTCTCTGGTTTTGGAGCCTGTCCTGGAACTAGCTCTTGTAGACCAGGCTGGTCTCGAACTCACAGAGATCCGCCTGCCTCTGCCTCCCAAGTGCTGGGATTAAAGGTGTGCGCCACCACCGCCCGGCAAATAAAATAATCTTTAAAACATAATAAAGCTATGATATAGGATCATTTGTCATCATTCCTCCCAGAAGCCTGTCTTAATTGACTCCTGTATTTTAACTCCTAGGTTCTGTAGTTAATGAAGAGGTTAAAAAGATAGCCTTTTGTAGTACATACTATTATACTCTTGTACAAATAAGATAAATACAAAATTTAGCAGATAATGATAAAGAAATTGCAAAATGTATTTTTGGTTATTGCAGATAGTCTGAGCCTGGCCAAGTATGTGTAATGTGGCACATTCTTTGTGCTGTTTACCGACGTACTCTCTCGGCTGTGTTGTCATTTAGCCATCTTCCAAAGTGACTTCCATTCTGCTCTTGTATTTGTATGTGTAGCTCTGGACACTGTTCTGGTCTTCCCTGCTCCACAGTCTGCTTACCATGGGAAAGCTTTGAGTAGGGTTTGTGGTGCTAGAGACAAACTGCTTTTCCCTGGACAAATCACAGCACAGAAAAGGCGGTGACTACATCTTCGTTCTTTTCAGCTCCTCAAGGGTCTCACTTCAGATAAATAGGTGTGGTTGATAGGTGAGTTTAGCTAGAGTCTTTGTGCAGGCTGTTGATTGCACACCTTCAATCCCAGCAGTTGGGAGGTGGAGGCGTTCATGGGTGATTCTCTGGGTTCTAGGCCAGCCTTGTCTTCATAGTGAATTACAGGACAGCCAGGACTACATACTGAGACACAGAGAAAAAAATTTTTGAGAAGTCTTTATTCAGATAGACAGCCTGCCCTATATAGCTATCCTCCTTGTTGTAGACTCTGTAATAAGAAGAACGTGCCCTGGGAGAATTTCCTTTAGTACTTTATAACAAATTACGATTTCTTGGGTATGAGACCATATGACAGCTTTTGGGAGTTGATTCTCTCCTTGTGTTCTGGAGGTTTATCTCAATTTTTCAGGTAAAAACAATTGCCTTTACCCACTGACCCGTTCTGATGGCCCCATTAAAAAACAGCAGGGTCAGAGGTGGGGGGCATTGTTTTTCTCTATTTCTATTAGAACCAGAAGTTTTCTGTGATAGAACCAAGGAGAGTTTTTACTTTATTTTAAAATAAATGTTTAAAAGAAACAAAGTAGAGTCCTAAAGCTTATTCACCTAAATCTCAACTTCAGCATTTTCGTACATTTTCATTACCTGATAATTAGAGTTGTCTTTGCCCTTAGCACCTGGCTGCTGTTGAAGAGAGAAAAATCAAGTCCCTGGTGGCTCTCCTGGTAGAGACACAGATGAAGAAACTAGAGATCAAACTTCGACATTTTGAAGAGCTGGAGACTATTATGGACAGAGAGAAAGAGGCTGTAAGTAAGGGGAATTTGTGTGGTGGTGTTTTGAAAATTAACCCTGGCTGCCTTAAGAGATAGCAGTTTGGTGATAAAATGGTGGCCTGTTCCAATGGTCTCTCTAGATTTTTCTGTCATTCCCTGTATATGATGGACCAGGGATTATAAATAAATGGGTTTCTGTCTGCTTTGTAAATCTTAGCCCTTTGTCTGTCTTCTCTATTTACATACTTGATATAAAATATCCCTTCTAAAAAGGGATTTTTTTGTTTGTTTTTAAAAGGGATATTTCAAGTTGAATCTTAGAATAGTGTAAAACTCTATAATAAATCCATTAAATGAGTCAAGATTTTTTTGATTTTTCTGCCCCTAACACAAATAATAGAAAATAGAAGTTTTATCTCCTTTTGACTTAAGGGCTCAATTTTCTATAATGGCAACATATTTGATATTTGATCTTTTTGTTTGTTTGTTTGTTTTTCTAGACAGGGTTTCTCTGTAGCTTTGGTTCCTGTCCTGGAACTAGCTCTGTAGACCCGGCTGGTCTCGAACTCCCAGAGATCAGCCTGCCTCTGCCCTGCTGGGATTAAAGGCGTGGGCACCACCGCCGGGCTCATATTTGATCTTTTATTCATATTTGATCTTTTATCTCTATTTCACCTCCTGACTGATGGCTGAAACTAGGCTCAGGTCAGGTCTCAGACAGATTTTGCCAAAGCTACTATGTTTTGCTGTTTGTTGGGGCTAGAACTTGACCCCCTGGTTTAGATACATTTTAACCAGCTTCATTCACTGATGAAGCTTGCTTGCTTATTTGCTTTCTTTCCCTTTCTGCCCTTCCCCCCCTTACCTAGGTGACATCTTGCACTGAGGTCACAACTCCTTATATCCCACTTAGCCTCAGGCTTTTCTTTAAGCTTTCCTTTTCTCCTCAACTGTACACTTTTGTATTTTTCCTTGATCAGCTTGCTCCTTTTCATTATAGGTCTGCATAAGACAGTCAATACTAGGTATCTTAAAATCACCTCTCAACACCATTAATCCAAACTCTTCAGTTTATCCTCATGTGGATTTTGTTTGACAACAACAGAAAGCAGGCAAAATATTCTTCACCAAAATATCACAAGGATGGCCTCCAGGTCACTTACTAAGATTCTTCCCTTTGGAAACTTGATTGTGATCCAGCTCATAGGGACTGCTTTTCTAATCCAAAATTCACATTCACCAACCATCAGGATGGTCAAGCCTGACACAGCTTTTAGTACCCACTTCTTTTAGTCAGTGTGTTATTGCTGTGATGGAACACCGTGACCACAGGAACTCAAGCATTTTATTGGGGCTGCTTTACAGTTTCAGAGGGTTAGTTCATTCTCATCAGGGGAGGATGGGGGCAAGCAGGGGAACATGGTACTGGAGAGGCCGACATTTTCATATCTGGTTTCTAGGGCAACAGGAAAAGCGAGCCCCTGGACCTGTCTTGGGTTTTGAAACCTCAAAGCTCACCCCAGTGACAGACACACTTCCTCTAACAATGCCACACCTCCTAATCGTTCCCAATTAGTTCTACTCCCTGATGACTACACATTCAAACATAGGAGTCCATTCTTACTCAAGCCACAGTTTGTAGTCCAACCCTATTATCAGGGATGGATGGATGGATGGATGGATGGATGGATGGATGGATGGATGGATGGATGGGTGGGTGGGTGGGTGGGTGGGTAGGTAGGTGTGTGGGTGTGCTTGAGTAGGGATGTGATGCACACGTTAGGAAATGAGATCACCGTAATGAAAATTTTCTGTACAACTGAATCACTGAATCCTGATTTTTTTTTTACAACCAAGAAAATAGCATCCTGTCTTTGCAAGTGAAACCATGATTGTTACTGTAACAGTAATTTTTGCAGGCTGTGAAAAGGTTAGGTAAGAAAATTATGGCATGTGTTTGGCACACTATCTAGTATGTGATTAGTGTTTGGTAAATACGCATATGCCTTTATACAAATGACTATTCTACAACTCCACATGAAAATTTGTATTTATAAGCTGTTAATCTTGTGAACTCGTTAGGTCAGCCACTGTGCTAGTGTACGGCAGCAGGTCTCTATCCCCCTGTCAGCTCCCAAATAACCATGTAGAGACTTACTATTATGAAAGCTCAGGGGGTAGCTTAGGCTTTTCCCTAACTAGTTCTTCATAACTTAAATTAACCAATATCTTTTAATTTTCGTTCTTTTAAGTGGCTTGATTCTGTTTATTCTGTACTCCGTCCTGCTTCCTCTCTGCCTGGCTAGTGACTCCTCTGCCCTTCTTCCCAGCACTCTCTGCCTGGGAAGTGCGGTCTTACTTTTGGCTGTTTAGCTTTTTATTAAACCAGTCACAGTGACGTATCTTCACACAGTGTAAAGGAATATTCCACAACTATGTACAATATATAGATATTCTAGTTTAATATTCTAAAAAGTATTTGACAAAACTAGAAGCATAAACAGTACCAATTACTTTGTCCTTACTGAAGACTCCAGCAGTGCTGATCTGTCAGTTTCTTATCCCTTCCTCCAGACAGACTGGAGCCTGGGCAGGCAAGTTAGTAACCTCATGTGGGCCAAATACAGAGCAAGGTGTCAAGCATGTTTTGTGTTTATCATCTCCTGTTTTGTAACTTAGGGACAAGCAGGCCATTATCACCTCCTTTCATCTTTGAGTCTCTGAGATGTACAGACTTCTGTCCTATTTCTCGTGTGAAATAAGTGAAGCTGATAGTGTGGAAAATGAGTAGGTCAGCCAGTTGAGAATGCTTAGTTCTCTCTTGCACCTACCAAACCTTTGGTTCATTTTAGGGAACGTTCCTACTCTTGTTTTTCCAGACATAGTTGCTATTAAGACTCTTTCTCTTTTGAGACTGGGCTGTCTGTGTGACAGCCTTGGCTGTCCTGGAACTCACTTTGTAGACCAGACTGGCCTTGAACTCAAAAAGAACCACCTGCCTTTGCCTCCTGTATGCTGGTATTAAAGGCATGAGCTACCATCATCTGGCTTTTTTTCTTTTTAAGAGGGTTGATTTTATTTATTTAAGTAGCAGTAGATCTTTTTAAAATTTTTTTACTTTCAGAATTAGATATAAATGTGATGTTGCTTGTTTTTCTAAAAACTTGAGTAGATGTTTTCTTGTCTTAAATATTGCTTGAGTGAGATAGAAATGTTTTATACACTTAATACATAGCTATTATCGCATTGCTCTCATAGAGTGGTAGTAAGAAGGAAGGTAGTGGGGGTAGTTAAACAATTAATCAGGGAGGTAGCATAACAAGAGCTATAATCCCAGTCATGTTAGGATTCTTTCCTGCCACACATGGGAGCTCACAACCATCTGCAGCTCTAGTTCTGGGGTTCATTGCCATCTTCTGGCCTCTGGGCCCTACATGCACACAGTGCAGACATGCAGGCAGGGAAAACATCCGTTCACATGGGGGAAAGTACTTATTTTTAGTTTCTTGGGACAGGGTTTCTCTGTGTATTATGCATAATGTGAAAAGTTAGATAATAAATACTTTAAAAGGAGTCTTTGTGACCAAAAATATAAATTCTCAGCCTCCCAATTTCTGGGATTCTAGACAAAGATCGCCACTCCAGGCTTCATAGAACCAATTTAAGTAGATAAGACTCAAATGGTGGAATAAGAGAGCTTCCACAGTTTTTTCCTCTGGCTGCCATACATTCATTGTGGCACATGCCTCCACATACACATAAAGGATTAAGAGGTGAAGTGGCAGCATTATAGTTTTCATAGTAGAGACAGGGCTTTCTCACTGTCACCATTACCTATTTCAAAACACTTCATACCCTAGAAAGATGTACCCATGCTGGCAGGAACCCTTCCACTGGCTTTAGTGTCTCCTTAAACCCTGCATGGAATCTGTCAACTGTAATCTACTTTCTGTTTTTTTTTTAGATATACTCTCTCTTGACAGTTCATATATATCAAGTACTTAAAATATGTGACCTTTTCTGTCTGGCTTCTTTTGTTTAGCTTGTTTTCAAGGTCACCCATGCTATGTAGCATGTGGCATAGAATTCATATAACACTGAAAATAGTTTTATTACTAAAGATAGTCATTAATTTGGTGTTTTCCAGAACGTTTTCAATGTGTATTAATTATATGCACTTTTGATGATAAATATTTTCTGTTGCAAGTTGATTTTCTTACCATTCTGTGATTCAGACGTAACTACAGATCAAGAATAATGTTTTACTGAATAGCTCTGTAGCAGATGTCAAAGCGTGGCTCAGTGGTTGAATACATATACAATGTGCCTTCATATTGCCAGATCGTTACGGAACGCCTCCTTCCCATCCTCCCTGCTTGTCATGAAGGTTACTAGTTTGTTGTTTGGATACCAAAACTGGTCTTAAGTCTTTAATTTTTTTGTTAGTGTAAAAAATAGTGAATTCAGGGGCTGGAGAGATGGCTCAGTGGTTAAGAGCATTGCCTGCTCTTCCAAAGGTCCTGAGTTCAATTCCCAGCAAGCCTTCTCCATATCGTCCTCTTCTCCAATAGCTTTCACTGCTCCCTACTCCTGCTTCACACACATTTACACTGAGCTTTCCACGTAGCAGAAATCGTGATAGTTTTCCCTTTTAAGCCTAGCTTATTGTCCTGGGAATCTTTAAACATTCTTTTTTGATTTCCCCTCCACCATCCCCCACAGCGGGATTTTACTGCATAGCCTTGGCTATCCTGGAACTCCTTCTATAGACCAGGCTGGCCTCAAACTCACAGAGATCTGCCTGCATTTGCCTCCTGATAGCTGAGGCTAAAGGCATGCACCACCACCACCTGGCCGACTAATCATTCTTTGCAGCTGTGTGAAACTGAATTATGTGAATTTTCTTTGAACTATTCACCTGTTGGTGGGCATGTCGGTTGATTCCACGCCTTGACTGCTGTGAATAGTGTTGTGATGGACTTGGAGACCTAGGTGTGGTTCCCCCCACTCACCCCTCCCCCCCATCCTACTGTAAGTCTATTTTTGTTGTTTTAAGGAACTATGAGCTGGGCAGTGGTGGCGCATGCCTTTAATCCCAGCGCTCAGGAGGCAGAGGTAGGCGGATCTTTGTGAGTTTGAAGCCAGCCTGGTCTACAAGAGCTAGTTCCAGGACAGCCAGGGCTGTTACACAGAGTAACCCTGTCTCGAAAAAACAAGAAAAGAAAAGAAAAGAAAAAAAGAACTGCATACTGATTTCTATACAGGCTTCACTAGTTTTCATTTCTAACAAGTTTGTTTGCTTTGTTTTATTAATTTACTTATTTCTCTTCTTCTTCTTCTTCTTCTTCTTCTTCTTCTTCTTCTTCTTCTTCTTCTTCTTCTTCTTCTTCTTCTTTTTTTTTTTTTTTTTTTTTATGTTTTTTCTCCTTTTTTTTTTTTTTTTTTTTTAAGGCAGTGTTTCTCTATTTAGTCCTGGCTGTGCAAGAACTCTGTCTGTAGACACAGAGATTCACCTGACTTTGTCTCCTGAGTTCTGGGATTGAATGCTGCACCTAGATTCATGAGCTACTGCACTTGGCCATATCTGTATCTTATATCTTTTTACAATTTATAGGTTTCTAGTTTTTTGGGGGTGGGGGTTTTGAGGCAAGGTTTCTCTGTGTAGCCTTGTCTCTCCTTAAACTCAATCTATAGACCAGGTTGGCCTTGATCTGCCTTGTCTCTCATGTGCTGGAATTAACGATGTGCACCACCATGCCCAGCTAAGTTTCTAATCCTAACATTAAGGTGGCCATTTTGTTTTGTTTTAAGCACTGTGAAAGTGAGATATCGATTGGTTCTTCTATGTTTGGGTGTCTAATTTTCCCAGAAGTACTTGAAGAAGTTGTCTTTTCTCCATTGTATCTAGACATCCTTTATCAAAAATTAGGTGCCTGTGTGGATTTATGCAGCCTTTAGACTTGATTTGATATGGCAGAGATAGTTGATTTACTGGATGGGGCCAGGATGTAGATCTGCTTCTGCCCCAGAGCACCCTGGGGCATCTAGGAGCCCAGAGCCATCTGGGGCCAATGGGGACTGGCAATTTGCGCCTGTACTCTCAGCCTCTGGAGACTTGTTCATCCTCCATTAAAGCTTTGAGTTTTAACTGAGTTTTCTTCTCAGGTGTGCCTATGTGTATTTAATCACTTGCCTTTTTTAATTTTCATAATTACTTCCTTTTAATTAGTTTCTATGTTTTTAAATGACAGACACGGTTTAGCAAGTCAGCTAGGGAGGGCGGGGTGCCAGGGATTACTGTGAGTTTGGGACTAATCTGGGCAACAAGGGATACCCAGTCATAATCCTTATTTAACCCTCACACTCATCCTCTTCCTTCCTCTTTAAAAAAAAAAAGAATAAATGAAAGACTGACAGTTTAGAGATAACTAGTATAATTTAGGGTAGCTAATTGTAGATAGGAAAATGAGTAAATTTTCCCTTCGTTTGTTGGTTTCTTTGTTTTGGTAACAGGGCCACAAACTGTCTTCAAACTGATAATCCTTCTGCCTAAATCTCTCAAGGACTAGGATTCCATCTTATTTGGCTTTCTTCCCATTTCTATAATATAAAAAGTTTTTGTCTGTTTTTTTTTTTTTTTTTCAAAGATGACCTGTGTTCAAAGCCAGCCTGGTCTACAGCCAGATCAGCTAGGACTACACAGAGAAACTGTGTCTTGGGGGAAAAAATCATGTAAGACCTTGATGAATTTAGGTCATCTAAAAATGCTAATTGGCGCCCGGCAGTGGTAGCACACACCGTTAATCCCAGCACTTGGGAGGAAGAGGCAGCTGGATCTCTGAGTTCAAGACCAGCCTGGTCTATAAGAGTTTGTTCCAGGACAGGCTCCAAAGCTACAGAGAAACCCTATCTTGAACTCCCCCCCCCCCCCAAAAAAAAGCTACTTGGCAATTAAAAAAGAAGCCAGGCAATGGTGGTACACACCTTTAATCCCAGCACTCAGGATGCAGAGGCAAGCTGATCTCTGAGTTTGAGGACAGCCAGGCTTACATAGGGAAACCCTGTCTCAAAAACCAGAAAAGAAAAGGAAAAAAAAGACAAAACACTGAGTGGTTAATATAAAGATGAAAAATGTCCCTTTGGAGGGACACACAGCACAGGCACCATTGCAGTTCAAGGTATTTACAAAGCAGATCTAGACCTACCTTCTTTAGTTTTTAAATAGGTTCAGGACTACAGCCAAGCTGTCTAAAACAGTGACTCCAGAACACAAGTAAATACCATTTCTGGTGTGTAATCTAAGGAAATTGCAGAATTCTAAATTCCCCAGAAAGAATAGCAAGACTGTAGTCAGTTTCTAGGTCTCTTATTGTTTGGTCTAATACATGTCACTACTTAGTGTTCTTCCAGACTTGAACTCTTTGAACATTCTCTCAATGTTTATATTTTGGGTCCTTTCTTGTCGTGTTAAGAAGTCCAGCCAGGCCAGAGCCTTTCATTCCAGGCTGCTAAACTTCACGTGTAGCTCTGTTTCTGCTGCTGTCTGCCTGCACATAGCTCTCCATTCATCTCCTTTCCTGGCTGCTGTGATCTTTCTCCTTCTCTCCCACAGTGGATCATCTTTGCAAGTTTTTATAATTTAATTGTCATGCTTATTCCACCTAGTTTTTGCTATTTATAGTCTATATTATTTATTCATGGAATTGGCTCCTTTCAAAAGCCAAATTGTCCTATTTCCTTAACCCATTGAATGGCTCAATAGTGATACTCAACAGAAGTAAAATTTGAGCCATGCATGTTATTAAGATTTTGTACCAGCCATGTTACAAAAGTTTAAAGCAACTGACATGATAATAATTTAATATGACAGTACTTATTCTACTTATTATCAAAATGTATTTGTTGGTTTGTTTATTGTGTCAGTGTCACCTCCAGCAGAGACTTACTACCTGCCAAGAAGGACTCTCTAACTTCTGAGTGCTGGAATTGAAAACTTGCCAGCTTTTTCTTAATTATTTATTGATTTCTTTTTGTGGCACTTGGATTTTAACCTAGTGCCTCACATACGTGCTCTACTACTGAACTATATGCCGTTTTCCAGTCCTATTCAGAATATTGAAATGTTTGTATTTTTCAAGTTTCCTTTTAAAAAATTATATTTAGGGATTGGAGAGATGGTTTGTCAGTTAAACGCTCTTCCAGATACCTGAATTCAATCCCCACCACCCACATGGCAACTCCAGGATCTGACAGCCTCGCACAAACATACATGCAGGCAAAACACCAATGCACATAAAATAAAAAATAAATAATTAAAAAATTGTGTTTAGTCAGTGAAAGTATGTGCTTTGTGGTCCAGTGTAATTTTAGCTATTTCAAAGCTAAAATTTGCCTTGCTGTACCATTCCACATATGAGGATAAAATGTGTACGTAACTAAGGTCATTGTCACCTGCTAGCCATTTTATAGTCTAAGACAGTAACTGGTGGATCACATCCAAAATACAGCACCTAGGGAAATTGAACAGTCTTCAAACTTTGCTGAGAAGAACAGGTAGAGAGAATATTTTTCTTACCTAGGGAAATATCGATTATGGAACATATTTTTAATACAGTTATGGCATGGTGGCACATGCCTTTAATCCCAGAGCTTGGGGGCCGAAGCAGGCGGATCTCTGCGTTGGATGGCAGCAGGGCTACACTTTGAGACTCTTTCCTTAAGTAATTAAATAAAATGTTACTTGCAGGCTTACCCAGACAGTGGCACATAGCTGTAGTCCTAGCTGTTTAGAAGTTAAGACAAGAGGATCTCTTGAGCCCAGGAATGCAAGGTAGTTAAATACTGTCTCCAGTAATACTAAGAAGAAAGGAGCCGAGCGGTGGTGGTGTACACCATTAATCTCAGCATTCAGAAGGCAGAGACAGGCCTGGTCTATGAAGTGAGTTCCAGGACAGATAGAACTGTTGCACAGAAACCTTATCTTGAAAAACCAGGGGGGGAAAAGGGAAGAAGAAAGCCTTCGTGTCTGTCAAAAAGTAGGGCCATGGGGCATTCACCCCACTGCAGGTTAGTATAAGGAAAAGTAGATTTTAGACTAAACATAAGGACATCCCCGATAAGGGGCCTCTGCCTATAGCATGGTGTGGATGGAACTCATGTATCAAATACATGTCCTACACATTATAAAGTCCTGAGAACCCTCCTGGGGCATTTCTCTTCTACTTCCTTTACAGCTAGAACAGCAGAGACAGCAGTTGCTTACTGAGCGCCAGAACTTCCACATGGAACAGTTGAAATACGCTGAGCTCCGGGCTCGCCAACAGATGGAACAGCAGCATGGCCAGAACCCTCAGCAAGCACACCAGCACTCAGGAGGGCCTGGTCTGGCCCCGCTCGGAGCAGCAGGGCACCCTGGCATGATGCCTCATCAGCAGCCCCCACCCTACCCTCTGATGCACCATCAGATGCCGCCACCACACCCTCCCCAGCCAGGTAAGAGGGAACCTTTGCTAACAGGAAGTTTGTTCACAGTGCCACTTTTTCTAACAAAAAGTGGGTCCTGGCATTCTCATTGCATGAAACTAGCCAGAATGAAAAGAGAATGGTTAGGAGAGGAGAGAGTTTTCTGCCTTTGGATGATGCTAGGACTTAGAAGAGCAAATCTTTAACATGCTTTGGGTAAAAAGTAGCATTTGCAGTAACCTCAAGTGGAAGAAGCTTTTTCCTTGGGTAAATCAATTTAACAAGACAGAGGCTAAGTAATGATGAATTCCTGAGACATAATGAGACTCTGTGTACTAAGTCCCAGCACTATGTTAAAGAAAATATTCTCCTTTTTTTTTTTTTAAGATTTATTAAGTATACAGTATTCTGTCTGCATGTATGCCTACAGGCCAGAAGAAGGCACCAGATCTTACGACAGATGTTGTGAGCCACCATGTGGTTTCTGGGAATTGAACTCAGGAGCTCTGGAAGAGCAGTCAATGCTCTTAACCACTGAGCCATCTCTCCAGCACCTAAAGAAAATATTCTTAGATTGTCTGTATACTGTCATCATCAGTTCAAGAAAATTTGCAAGACAAATGAACTTTTATGATTCATTCCCTTTGTACCATTTTTAATATTTTCTTGTGGATATGGGGTATTTGGATACTGTTCTGTTCATAGTCGTCCTGTAAGCTTGTATCAGTTTGAATTGTACAATCATTATAAATATTTTCCTAGAGCCGGAGTTAGCGCTTGTTGGGGTAGTAGGGTGCAAATATTGTGTATGCAAAAGAAGCAATTGAGATAGACAGTAAAATTCTTCGAATCCTCAAAAAGTCCTAACCCCTAACTCCTTCAAAGGACAGATTTCTGAATACTCTCCTAGAAATTACCAATCATATTTGTGTACAGAAGCCATGGTTGAATACAGTTGTGATCTGGCTGCTTATATTACTACAGTGTATTGGAGGGGGCCTCTTGTTGGTTCCCGGCTGCCCAGCCCCAAAATAATCACACAGAAACTGTATTAATTAAATCACTGCCTGGCCCATTAACTATAGCTTCTTTTTTATTGATATTTATTGAGCTCTACATTTTTCTCTGCTCCCCTCCCTGCCTCTCCCCGCCTCCCTTCAATCATCCCCCAAGGTCCCCATGCTCCCAATTTACTCAGGAGATCTTGTCTTTTTCTACTTTCTACTTCCCATGTAGATTAGATCTATGTAAGTCTCTCTTAGTGTCCGCATTGTTGTCTAGGTTCTCTGGGATTGTGGTTTGTAGGCGCTTTCGTTACTTTATGTTTAAAAACCACCTGTGGGTGAGTGCATAGGACAGTTGTCTTTTTGTGTCTGGGTTACCTCACTCAAAATAATGTTTTCTAGCTCCATCCATTTTCCTGCAAAATTCAAGCTGTCGGGGTTTTTTTGTTTTTTTGTTTTGTTTTCTTTTTCTGCTGTGTAGTACTCCGTTGTGTAAATGTGCCACATTTCCCTTATCCATTCTTCGGTCAAGGAGCATTTAGGTTGTTTCCAGGTTCTGGCTATGACAAACAAAGCTGCTATGAACATAGTTGAGCACATGTCCCTGTGGCACGATTGAGTATCCTTTGGATATATACCCAGGTCAGGCTACATAGTGAGGATTGTCTTTAAAGAAGGAAAGGAATTTAAACTCACTAGTTTTTGTTTCATTTTGTTTTTTGAGACAGGGTATCTCTACATAACCCTGACTGTCTTGGAACTATTTAAACAAGGCTGGCCTCATAGTCACAGAGAGATCACCTGCCTCTGCTCCCAAGTGTTGAGTCTAAAGGTGTGCACCACCACAACTGGCTAGTTAAGCTTGCTTACTCTAACTAGTTAAAAACATGGTGAGCCAGGTGTGGTGGCATGCACTTTTAATCCTGCACTTGGGAAGCAGATGCAGATGATCTCCTATTTTGAAGCTTGCCTGGTCTGTTTCAGGATAACTTGTTTACAAGCAAACACAAAAATAATATTAAAATACATGAGTTCGGTATACTTAGCATTAACTAAGTGTGTTTTACTTGTATGTTTTAGTTCAGTTTTTAATATGTGACCCTGGGTGGCCTGAAACCCAGAAATTTATCTGCCTCTGCTACCATGCCTAAGCGCCTTTTGAATGAAGATGGTGAGGTAGCCCATGGTGTTTGGGATGACGGCCATCTTCCATCTCAGGTTTGTCACTGTCACAAGAACTATGAACAAGGCTATAGTGGCCAGTGTTTATTTTCAGCTTGACACAAACTAGAGTCACCTGGGGCCTTCAGTTGAGGACTTGCCTATATTGTGTTGGCTTACGGGTGGGTTTGTGAGGCATTGTCGTGATTGCTGATTGATGTGGGAGGACCTAGCCTGCTTCTTGGACACGTGATCCCTGAGTGTACAAGAAAGCCAGCTGAACAGGAGCCAGAGAACAAGCCTGTGAGCAGCTTTTCTCCAGGGTTTCTGCTTCAAGATTCTGAGTTGAACTCCTGCCCTTATTTTTTCAATAATGGATCATGACCTGGAAGTATAAATTGAAATAAACCCTTTTCTCCCCAAGTGGGTTTTGCTTTTGATTTGTTACAGCAACAAAAAGCTTACTAACTAACACAGAATTCTTCCAAATAACATTTTCTGAATTTTAGAAAAATTTACTGATGAGCTGGGCACAGTGGTGCATGCCAGCTCATGGGAGACAGGATGTAGATTGCTTGCTTGGGCTGCATGGCAAATTCCAGATCAGCTAGGGGTTCATAATGAGACCTTGTCTCACTGGTACTGCTAGTGGTGAGGGAGCACACCTGTCATCAGTCTGAATACTCATGACACAGTACGTTCAAAGCCTGGGCTTAGTAACAGGAACCTGTTTCTCAAAACGGGGAGTAAGGGAGGGGGCATCACAGATCACAGTGTTTACATTAGGACCTGAGGGTAATTATCAGGAACTGGGTAATGTTTGGTATTCGGCCAGAACTTCTGTTGTGTGACTGTGGTAGAAAAGAGAACTAAGACAGATTTGTTGCTCAATGAAAAATCCGTACAGCTTTTCAGAGTAGCTTTACTTCCTATGCAACCATGAGGACCTGAGTTCAGATCCCAACACCCACAGCAGCCAGATGGGGTCTTTTGCATCACTGTGGGGGAGGGGGACAAAAGAATCACTGGGGCTTGGTGACTGCCAGCATATCTGAAAAGCACAATCTCCATGTTGAGAGAGAGATGCCACCTCAAAAAAGAATAAAGCAGAGGGTAAAGAGTCGCCTAAGCATCCTCTTTTGGCATGTGTGTGTGTGCAGTTGCGTTCATGGGCACCTTTCCCATATACAACCAGAACTGTCCATCGATAGTGGTAGGACCCATTAAAGCAGTTCACCCAGGTGTGATAGCACATACCTGTAACACTTGGAGGGTAGAGGTAGGTAGAGCTGCATAGTGAGGCCCTATCTCAACAAAATGAGATTCCTGTTCGTTGTTTTAAGTCTCCTAAGCTGTGCACACAAATGGTACTGATCATCCATGTAACTGATGTCTGCTCTTTGAACTACACCTCTATACGTGTTGCATATGCTTACCTTTTCTGCCTTTTCAGTTTTTGTTTCCCCAGATTTCATTTAAACTCCCTCAAGTGTAGTAAGTCCCGTCTGCTGCATGCTTTGTTCTTGCTTTATTAGTTTTCATCTCTGGTTATATCTTACAGATGTATCCCAAGTTAGCTTTTTCATATCAAACAAAATAGCCAGGAAATTTTATGTAGTGTAGTGTTTAGTTTGATTTTGTTTATATTTTTATTGTTTCATTATTTTATGCATATGGGAGTTTTACCTGTATATATGTCTGTGCACCATTTTTGTGCCTTGTGCCCCTAGAAGCCAGAAGAGGGCATTCCATCCCCTGGAACTGTAGTTCTAGGTGTTTGTGAGTTGACATGTGGGTGCTAGGAATTGAACCCAGGTCCTCTGGAAAAGCAGTCAGTTCTCTTATCCTCTACGCCATCTCCGCAGCCCCTATTTTTATTATATTTAGTTGTGTGTATATATCTCTGTGTGTGCAAATGTTAAAAGTGAATGCAAGTACCCTTAGAGGCCACAGGGTTTGGATCCCCTGGAGTTAACAGGCAGTTGTGCGATGCCTAGCATGTGCTTCGGCTCTCTGGAAGAGCAGTGTGCTCTCTTAAACACTGAACTAACTCTGCACCCCAAAGTGTTTCTGCTCTATGGTTGGCACATCTATTTTTACCTCGTCTTAACGTTTTGCTGAACTTGTTAGCAGAGGCAGCCCTGCATTCATCTTCTCTCCTTAAGCTGTAAAATGGTACCTAACAGTTCTTCAGCTAAGAACTTAATGCTCAGCGGTTAAGAGTACTGGCTGCTCTTTTAGAGGACCGGGGTTCACTTCCTAGCACCTTATTGCATCTTACACCTGTCTGTAACTCCAGTTCCAGGGCTTCTGATGCCCTCACACAGACCATGCAGGAGTGAGTGTGTGTGTGTGTGTGTGTGTGTGTGTGTGTGTGTGTGTGTGTGTGTGTGTGTGTGTGTGTGTATAAAGACAGGGTTTCTCTGTAGCTTTGGAGCTTGCCCTAGAACTTGCTCTGTAGACCAGGCTCGCCTTGAACTCACAGAGATCTACGTATCTCTGCCTTTCAAATGCTGGGATTAAAGGCATGACTCCCCTCCTCCCAGGTATATATATTAAAGAAGCCTATTTTGTTAAACATTAAAGTCTTAAAAAAAACTTACCCGCTTCTGCCTGTGATAGTCTGTAAGTTGAGTAGTAATTATACCAATCAGTTGTTAAAGATTGTTCTATTTTATGTGTGTATGTGTATGGGTGCATGTATGTAGGTCAGAGAACAACATGTGGAAGGTAGTTTTCTCTGCATCATTTGGATCCCAGGTATTGAACTTAGTCATCAGGCTTCCCTTTACCTTTTAGCAACCAACTTTTGGGTGAGCCATTTGTGTTGCCCACCTTGGCTTGTCTTTGCGGTATTTACAAATACATGGACAACCACAGCAGAGAGAGGACTGGTTGGTGCCCACTGCCTGCAAGCTCTCGTACAGCTCTGGTAGCACATCTGCCTAACATGCCCAGGGCCCTGCAATCCATCTGCAGCACCACCGAGGAAGAAAGTGTGGTTTGGTGAGGAAATGTTACTTCAGTAACAAAGCTAGGACATGTCTCAGCCGAGGCCCTGGGCAGTTGACTTTATTCTTTGTTTCCTTGGAGTAAAAATTAAGATGGTCTATCTGTGTATCCAGGGCAGCCTCCAATCCATCGTCTTCTAGTCCTGCTTATACTATCCGACAGTGTGGCCCCGGCCCTAACAGAGCATCTGTCACGGGCGCGCCCAGGAAACTGCTGTGGGGAAAAAGCCTCTGTGGATCCTAGACTTCCCCTCACTTGGCCCCCATTGTGTTATTTCCGTTCTCCTGGGGACTCAGCCAGAGGATGTCTGCATGGTTAGAAATGGGTGCATGACACATGCTTAAGTGTTCACGGGTTCCCTTCCCAGTTTCATTCTCCGTTCTCACCTTATTCTCTCAGTGAATAAAAAATAAAATCCTTAGCTAATATCCCATTAGACATGATAGGTGTAAGGCTTTAGTAAAAGATCTAATAAACATGGGAGTGTGAGAGACTTTTTCTACTAGCTAAACCTAATTTTAGCAAACCTTTCCATATCCCAGGCTTCAGATGCCTGCTGTTTAAAAAACGCTTGTATGTAGGTCAGACTCCCACCATCCTATGTTTTGCCAGTGCTGTTTTTGAAGCTTGCTCACTGTCCTTCCTCTCTCTATTCCCTTCCCACCTCAGAAAGGGAAATACGCCCCAGCTGTCTGTGTGTGTGTGTGTGTGTGTTAATGGACTGTGCACATACACGTATTTTGTTTAGTATTATCTCCTTGGTGTTGCAGGTTTATGTGAGCCATACTTCAAGCTTGTGAGAATTAGCAAGAATAGCTGGACTTTAAAAAAAAAAAAAGGTGATACTTGTTTCAGGTACGGTGAGGGGGGCAATGCTTACGATTTCAGATAGACAAGACATTGATTTTTGTCTTCATTCTAGTCCTTTTAATTTCTATTTCAAATATGAATGTCCCAAACCCTCTTTTCTGTGGGAATGTCTGAGTTGGCAAACAGCTTGCCAGACCTTTGTTTGATTCTGGTTCTTACATAACAGCCCAGTCTAACATTGCACACTGGGGAGATACAGACGGGGATCCCTGGGGCTTGCTGGGCAGCCAGTCTAGTTGAACCTCAGAAGCAGAAGTCATAGTTTGACTTTAACCTTTCCTCTTGCTGACGCCCCCTTTCTAATGAGAAAGGGTTTATCATCCTGTAAAGTTTTTTTTTTTTTTTCAGGCTTCAGGTTTCACAGTAGTGAAGGGAAGAATTTGCTCACTTTTGTTTGTTTTAGATGTTGGTCTCATAGATTTGAAAAACCCCAAAAGCTGTGCATCACCACCACCCGGCGAGTTCATACTTTTAAAGCCTAAATGCCTAGAACATAGCAGCATATGTATCATTCGCTAGACCTCTGAGTCTTCATAACAGGCTTATCACACATTTGATATAACTTAAACTAATAGAAGGTTAGGCTTGAGGTGCAGCTCAGTTGGCAGAGGGCTTGGTGAACATGCTTGAAGACGCCAGTGTAATCCCCAACACCATATAAAACCAGTATCAAAACACATAAAATAAAAACCCCTGCTCATAATCTCATCACTTACAAGTAGAGGCAAGAAGATCAGAGTTTAAGGTCATCCTTAGCTACAAAGAGAATGTGGGCTAGCCTGGACTGCATGTGAAACCCTGTTTCCAAAAAATGGACACTTATTCTCACAGTCTGAAGATGAGGTCTCTAGCACCCAGCTATGCCGTGTCCTTTACTAGGAGTTAAGAGGGGCCGTGTTTTCTGGTTCCTTCTAGCTTCTGGTGGTTACATGTTGCAGCTATTCATGGTTTCCGTTTATCCCTCCTGTCTGCCTGTGCTCTTTCTCGGATGCTTATTGGATTTAGGACTCTCAGGTCGTCTGTGATGGTCCCATTTCAGTTCATAGTCACACCGTACCTGACACAAGTTGGTGTAGTTCTGGTTTTTTTGTTTGTTTGTTTGTTTTTTAATGTTCTCTAGATGTGAAGTTTTTGCATATAAACTTTCTTTAAATACATTTTGTGGGGCTGGAGAGATGCTCAACGTTTAAGAGTTTAAGAGTCTACTTTTCCAGAGGACCTAGTTTCAATTCCCAGCACACACACGGCAGCTCACAGCTTTTGTAACTCCAGTTCCAGGGCATCTGGCTCTCTCACGTAGATATACATACAGGCCAAAAAAAAAAAAAACCCCATGCACATAAAATAAAGATAAATATTTTTTAAAGAGAACATTTCGAGTACTTGAATATCTTTTATTTCAAAATTGGGGTTATAGCTGTTTAGCTTGTAAAAAGTGCTTAAATCAGTTTTTTATTTAAAAAATATTGGAGGTAGAGGTGCCGCCGTGCTGCTCACCTTTAGTCCTAGCACTTGGGTTTGGGATTAAGGTTCAGCAGAAGCCGGCAGATCTCTGAGCTAAAGGCTGGTGCAGTGCAGCTGGGGATACATAGTGAGATAAGTCTCAAGTAAACAAATAAGGAAATAGGAATTTTGTGTATGTGATACAGTGCTGGCTTTCCTGCAAGCCTTTATTTGGACAGAAATGGGTGAGAAGAGAACTGGACCTTGATTTAGAAGGCTTGAATATATTTTATATTTCCCCGTACTCTATCCATGAAGAAAGCTTTGCTAGCACACTTGGTGGCACATAGCTCTAGTTCCATCATTCAGGCAGCAGAGGCAGAAGGATCATCACAAGTTCATGACTAGCCTGGGCTACATAGCAAACTCCAGGCCAACCTGAACTACATACCATAATCCTGTATGAAAAAACAAGTTGTTTTATTTCTTTGAGCTTTAGTCTGTTCCATATAAGACAGTAATATTCCCCCCTGGTTCTGGTTTACTTTGTGTTGCTGTGATAAAATACCATGACCAAAAGCGGCTTGAGGAGGAAAAGGTTAAACTTCCCAGTTACAGTTCATCACTGAGGGAAGTAAGGGCAGGAGCCGGCTTGGGTCAGGAACCATGGAGGAACACTGTTTCTGGCTTGTTCCCACTGCTTTCTTAAACTTCTTCCTTCTACAAGCCAGACCCCTACCCAGGGGTGGCAGCACCCATAGTGTGCTGGGCTCTCCCACACCGTCGTTAATAAGAAGGTGCTTCACAGCTGTGTCCCAGGCAGTTCCTCGGTCGATGTTCCCTCCTCCCTCTTCCTTGGGGCTCTAATTTGTGTCAGGTTTGCTAAGCAGCACACTGCCTCTCACTCACAGGCATGTTAGAAATCAGTGACAAAAGAAGGCACTGTTTAAAAGAATAAAGCAGATGCCCTGATGAAAATGAAACCTGTGCAATATTAAGGAGGACTGCTGTTGAGGTACTACTGTTCAGTACAGTTTTGGGAAACTGAGTAACTTGCCTAGGAACACATATCCCAAATAGACTGGGTTGGAAGGGAGAGCATGGCTGATGAGTTTGCTGACTTCTTTTCTGTCGGGTGTTCCCTGGACCCGTGGATTTCAGCAGGCCTTCCTTTAGAATCAGTGTGAAAGTGAACTGTGGGAAGTGATCCAAAACAGTTGTGTTATGTTATTCCGATGACACACTCTGGAGTGTTCCTCCTTGCATGATCCTCTCTTACTTTTCTAAGGCTTTGTCCTATCCGGACTTGATAGAGTGAGTAGCGTGAGGTAGATAAGGACCATGTTGTTATGAAGCTGGTTGATCATCGGGCTGGTGAGGCCGAGAGGGCACTTGTCCTCATGCATGACCGTCTAAGTTCAGTCCTCAGAACCCAGCACACCTAACACTCTTGCAAGTTGGCCTCTCACCTCCTTACTCATGGTGTGGATGTGACCATACTGTAGCTTTGGAACCTCCTAGAACTCACTCTGTAGACCAGACTGGCCTGAAACTCACAGACATCTGCCTGTCTCTGCCTCCCAAGTGCTGGGATTAAAGTCATGTGCCACCAGTGCTCATCACTAAATAAATATTTATCTATATTCTCCAGTCATGGACATTAAGTTGGTTATTTTTCCCCCTGAATGCATATATACTTAAAGTACTTTAAATCTCCCTTCACAGGTCAGATACCAGGCCCTGGCTCCATGATGCCTGGGCAGCCCATGCCAGGCCGCATGATTCCTACTGTGGCAGCCAACATCCATCCTACCGGGAGTGGCCCCGCCCCTCCCGGCATGCCTCCAATGCCCGGAAACATCTTAGGACCCAGGGTACCCCTCACAGCACCAAACGGCATGTGTAAGTAGCACAGTGGGAAGGTACTCACTCCCCCAGCTTCCTGCTTTGGCGGCGGTGGGGGTGGCTACTGATAAGGAAGAAAATCTTTCTTCGTGAGAAGTGGAAGATGACTTTTCATTGTGAAACTCTGGTTGTATACTCAGTACTGAGATCCGTGGGTAAGCCGATTATTTCTGTTACACATGGTTAAATTTGATTAATTTGAACCTGGCTGTTATTTTCCTACAAGAACTTTTATGCTGCAAAGTTAAAAGTGGTGAGTTAGCTTAGGAGTTCGAGGACAGCCTGGTCTACAGAGTGAATTCCAGGACAGCCAAGACTACACAGAGAAATCTATCTCAAAAATCCAAAAAACAAACAAAAATTAAAAACCAGTAATGAGTTGGGTAAAAAAGAAACTGGACCAAACATCGTTGTACTCCTTTAATCCCAGCACTTGGTAGTAGAGGCAGATATGAGACTGTCCTTGTCTGTAGGTGGAGCTCTAGAGTAGCTAAGACTACATAGTAAAACCTTTCTTAAAACAGGAAGGAAGTAAGAGAAGGGAGTCTAGAGATGGGTGTGAGCTCCTGCAGCTATTGGCAGGTTGGTGGTCCTGCATAGACTTGAGAAGAAGGGGTTCAGGGATTGAATGAAAAAGGAGTATGAGGGGGCTGGAGAGATGGCTCAAAGGGTGGGAGCGCTGGCTGCTCTTCCAGAGGTCCCGGGTTCAATTCCCAGCAACCACATGGTGGCTCACGGCCATCGTAATGAGACCTGGTGCCTTCCTTGCCAGCAGTACATTGTATACTTAATAAATAAATAAATAAATCGTTTGGGGGGGAAAAAAAGGAGTATGAGGAAGAGAAGTGCCATGAACTCAGTAGCATCCTTCTGAGCTAGTGTTCAAACCCCAAGTAATTTTTTTCCTAAGCCCCTCTGCTACCCCAAGGTTGACTTGACTTCCATAGGTGTAAATGGAAACTGCACTTTCATTTCCTGGCCACCCAGACCCTAGTAATCACATAGAAACTGTATTAATCACAACGTGGTTTGGCCAATGGATCAGGTATGTTCCTGGCTAGCTCTCTTAGATCTTAGATTAACCCATTTCTGTTATTTTATATTTTACCACGAGGGTCATAGTTTGTAAGCTCACATCTTGCTTCTTAGGTGGCTGTGGCATCTGCCTGACTCCAAGACCTTTCTCCCTGCATTCAGTTTAGTTTGATTGCCATAGGCCAGAGGAGCTTCTTTATTAACCAATGGTAATAAAACATACTCAGAGCATACAGCGGGGAACCCACATCACTCAGGGTTACATCATGGACTATGGTCTGTCTCCAGTCCTGTAGACGTGCAGTGAGAAGGATCCTGCCATGATTGCTTATGTTCATTTTTGTGGCCAGAAGTTAGCTCTTGTTCACTGAGAGAATAAGAATCCTTGGTCTGTGAGGTGGTACACACCTTTAATCCCAGGAGGGAGTTCCAACACAGCTAGGAATGTTGAGCAAAGAAGCCTTAGGGATTGGGGAGGGGGAATTCCTTTAATTAGGAAACAAAAAAGAAAACTTGGTAGGAGTATTCATTTCTCTACTTCTTGACTGTAGATGAAATGTAACCTGTTGTCTGAAGCTGCTACTATCGTGACTTCCTGCTGTAATGGACTGTGTCCTAGAACAATGAACCAGAATAAATCTATCCTTTTAGGAAGTCTGGTAGGGTTTAGTGAAGTGATGAGAGATGGCTGGGGGGGGAGGGGTAGCAGGTGATGACACTGGCGACTAAACCTGACATGAGTTTGATTCCTGGTGACCTGCATGCTGGAGGAGAAAACTGACTCCCACAAGTTGTCTCATAGCTTCAACACACATGCTATAGCACCAGCACACCTATGTATGCATGCATGTCACACACAACTACAAAATACTTGGGATAATCTGTAACGTTCCAGACTTCATTGCAGGGAAGTCAGCTTCACATAGAGCCATGCATACCTCACCTTGAAACCAGAGGCTAAAACAAAGTAGATGCATAGAACAGAGTCTTAGCCAGGCAGTGGTGGCACAGTCCCAGCACTCGAAAGGCAAAGGCAGGCGGATCTCTATAAGTTCGAGGCCAACCTGGTCTACAAGAGCTAGTTCCAGGACAGGCTCCAAAGCAACACAGAGAAAACCTGTCTCGGGGGAAAAAAAAAAAAAAGGAACAGTCTTCGTTGAATTCATAGAATCTAGCCCCTATGAAAAATGATTTCCCTTGAGCTCATGGTCAGGTGTCATAGTAGATGACTAAGAAAATGCTTGCCGTGCCACTTCCCAGATAAGAAAGAATTGACCCAGTTAGCCATCCCTGGGAACAGATAGTGTCGCTATACTTTATTGTAGTTGTACATTGTTTTGACACTAGGATCCATCCAGAAAGAGTAGTATCTCAAGAACATGGAGTGTCCCACCTCGTATAAACAGGGTATCGAGGCAATCTGAGCCTCTGACTTGGCTCTTGGGCCCTGAACAAGCCACACTGCATGAGTAGCTTAGTCTCCTTCTCAAAGATCACACAGGAGGAGATGACTAGGTTCAGAATGTTTGAAGAACTGTAGAGGTTTGATAGATTCCTCTTGGGAATGCCTAGTTAGTTAGTATAACTATACTTTAATTATTTGTTTAATGTGTTTTCATTTCTGTCAAGATCTAGAGGTTTGAAAGCCTTGGATTAAATGATCTGTAGTGTTCCTTTGTATGCTAAAGCCGCTAGAGTTGAAATAAAAAAGAACCCCAGACACTCACACTAATTGTTCCCTTCAGGACCTGACCTAGTTTGGGCCAGAAATCTAAGGGTGGCAGTTGAGGAACTGTGAGGGCCTCCCAGGACTATCCAGCTTGTCAGCAGCTGCCTCAGTGAAGCTCTGTGGCCCTGGTGGAAACAGTTAATCAGCAAGAAGTTATTGATAATCTCTCTTGTGCCCAGCTAGGCTGGACACCATGGAATAAAGAAAAAGATACAGAGCTAGTCCATGAAAGCTCTGATTACTTAATTGAAGAAACACAATTAGTAGAGAGAACAATTAGAATACAATAAAGTAGAAATACAATTAAGTTCTAAAAACAGTCTGGAGTGATTCTTGGAATGAGTGGTCCTTTGAGAAGGTGGGTGAATTCCAGCACTTCCCTTGCCTACTTCTTAGGTGAGAGTAAGCAGCGTGAGCAGCTCTGGTTGGCTTCTTTGTACTTGACCTCAGAGATAACAAGCCTCTGGGCCCACATTGTTTGCCTGCTGCAAAGAAAGTTACTTCCCGAGCAAGTATGAACTGTCGCTGAGGCAAGCAAATCTCTGAATCTGAGGCCAGTTTGGTCTACATGGCAAGTTCCAGACCAGCCAAGGCTACAAGTAAAACCTTATCCTCCCCACCCCACGAACAACAACAACAAAGCCTCCTTCCTGTCACTTTCTCTTGAATGGGTTCTTTCCCCAGCCTCCATTTCCAGCAGTGACAAGTTACCTTGAATGTGTTTGCAGATCCTCCTCCACCACAGCAGCAGCCGCCGCCTCCATCTGCAGACGGGGTCCCTCCACCTCCTGCTCCAGGCCCACCAACCTCAGCCACTCCTTAGCCTTGAAGATGCAGGAGCCTCCACACCCACCACAAGCTGAAATGGGGACGGCAAGACTTGTGTCTCAGCTTCGTTGGTTTTCTTTTGGGATTTATTTTTTCCTTAGAGCCCCAAGCATGAGTCCCAAGTCTCTCCACTCCCTGATACTTCTCATGTCAGGTCCTTAGCTGACACAGTGGGAAGTGTGGTGACTCGTGTTTTCTGGTTATTTGAAAAGTAACCCGTGTGTCCCCTGTCCCAGGGTGGCAGGTGTTGGCAGTTGATCTGCAGGTCCTGTTGGCATTAGTATTCTCTGTCTCTTTTTGTTTCGTCTGTGCTTCAGTGGATAATTCTCTATAATTACTATCCTTTCTTCCCTGTTGTTTTTAAGGAGAGCATCCTCAGTTAATAGAAACCAAAAAAGTGGTGATGGGCAGGAGACAGCCACAGACGGACACACCTTAAGGCATTAAAGTGACCTTATTTCTCCATATCTGAGCATGCTGGTGAGGTCCCTGAGGCTTTCACCAGATGTAAATGCACCCGGCTGAGAGGAGCTGGGGAAGAAGGAGGTGTCCTGTTGATTTCATTCCCCAGTGAGGACTGTGGAGGACTGCACTCTGTCTGGAAGAACACACCACTGTGTCTAGTAGCAGAGAAGGGTAGTGTGAGCTTTAAAGACTGGAATTTGGGGGGCATCCCCTAGATTTTCCCAGACTTGACACGAAAGTTCTCGGGTTTAGGGCCCTCCTACACTTTAGGAGCTGCCCAACCCCTCACATTCTCTCACCTCTCCACTCCACATGAGCTGAACTTTATATGTGCTTTTTTAAACCTTCCTCTTATAAGAAAGGAAAGGAAGAAAATAAAAACTTTATTAAAATAGATAAGTAGGTTGTGCTAAATGTTTTATCTCATGAACTTGGTTAAGTGGCTGGGGGTCCATGTCCCTAAACTACCTCTTGCTGTAGCCAGGGTGAGTGGGATTTCTTGAAGCGGTACTTAGGTTCAGAATGGCAGTGAGAAAGTGGGGCGCACTCAGCAGCCTCCTGTACCTCCTTTTTCTGAGCCCTCACATTCCATCATCTTGTGCTGAGGGCACAAGGACCTCATTTGGCGCCGAAGCATTAGGCTTTAAGATTTGGGATGCTCACACTGGGAGGGTAGGGTACCAGTCCTGAGGAAGAGCCACAAAAATGCCTTAATTTGAGCCTGTATCTGCCCCTGCTGATGAGTGATTTGATAGTTATGGTTTTATCGGCTTGTCCTTTCCTCCCTTCTGTCCTTCCGTGAGTAGCAAGAGGGTGTTTTTGGCAGAGCTTCCCTTTAAGTGACAGTTTCATTACTGAGAGTGCAAGGTAGAACATCTTACGAATGTCTTTTCCTCCTGTGTGTGTGTTCTAAAGCTTTTCATATGAGAGGGTGTACACAGTGTAACACCTTAGAACCCTTCATGTCAGAACACAGAAATCCACAGTTGAGATTTGCCTTTGAGACCCTCAGGTTTGCCTCTACCAGGTGGCCCTGACCACCATCCGAGTTCTGGGGTACTAGAGCTAAGGAAACCTTACTTCTTTCTGTGTGCACTCTAGACTCTTGGAGTAGAGAAAGGGAACTGAGCTTGTTCCTTGGGAGGTTACTTTAACTCCTTTGCCTCCAGGGAAACCCCAGTGCCTTTTGACGGTGGCCAGGTTTCCTACTTCCCTCCTTTCTGTCCCAAAGGAAGCTCACTCCAATGCTTGCCTTTCCCCTGGAGTCCTAGAAAGAGAATGGGATTCTGGTTCACACTGTGGTCCTTTCTAACCTCAGGTCTGTTATGTGATCACTTTCCAGTTTGAAAGATGCAAGTGGAGATATTTTTGCAGTGCTTGTAACCTACAAAACCTGAGTTCAACACAGCTCTTTCCATGTCTGTCAGGCGGGTTCATTTCTGTAATAACACCCATCCAATATTATGAGGGGCGGGCTGGGATGCTGTATAGCTTTTGTACAAATGTATCTCTCAGTGTGGGTTTGTTTTTGGTTTTTTGTTTTGTTGGTTTTTTTTTTTTTTTTCTTGTTTTGTTTCTAAATGAGGGAAGGGAGTTTTGAGAGTTTGGGAGGAAATGAATGAAAGTGACTTTAATTTTCCTCTTTTTTTTCATTGAATAAATGATATACCATTTATGAATTCTAGTCCCGGTCTATGCATTCATCCGCTTATTTCATACTGTGTCCTGTAAAGAACCTAAGTACTCAGCCTCACTTGGTCCTGATTAGCAGTGAAAATTCTGAGGGCTACTAAGTTGATCCTTTTCAAGGTGCTTCAGGATTGAACATAACATTGAATGTTTTACCCACTTGAATACCTTCCCCTTCAGTCAAAGTTACCTAACATTTTTGTGCCTCCAAAGAGAAATGATCTTGTTTACTGAGGTGGAGTGTCAGGTGCAGGTTGGAAGCAGACTTTCTAGTGTAAGCTTCCATGAACACTACCTACTACACGGGCAATTTGAGGACCACAGCTGCAAACCCTATGCCAGCAAGGAAAGAAGTTTGTAAGCATCCAGAGAAACGAGAATTCTGTGTCCACTGTGAAGTGAATACAAGCTGCTCAGTCAGGACGCTGCCTCTAGCAAAGAGCTACTGTAAGTTATAAAAAACCATGTGTGGTCCACCCGTCTTCCATGTGTTCTTCAAATTATTAGTATAATTTCTCTAAATTCATTAAAATTAGTAATTTTCAAACCTGTAATCAGCCTATAAAGGTGCTTGCCACCAAGCGTGATGACATGAGTTCAACCCTGGGCCACCCACATATTTGAAGAGAACTACCAAAAGTTGTTCTCTCGCCTTGACATGTGCACTGGTATGCACACATATATACAGAAATAATATAATTTTATTTTTGAGATAGATTCTCACTATGTATGTAGTCTTGGCTAGCCTGCAACTTACTATGTAGACCAGGCTGATCTTGCACTAATGAAGAGCCACGTGCCCGTCAAGTACTGGGATTAAAAACGTGCCACATCTGACTTGAATTTTTTTTTCCCTTAAAGAGATGTGGGCTCTTGGGGGGATGGGGGAGGGAAATGGGAAGAGGGGAGGAGGTGGAAATTTTTAATAATAATAATTAAAAAATTTAAAAAAAAGATGTGGGCCGGACAGTGGTGGCACCCGCCTTTAATTCCAGCACTAGGGAGGCAGAGGCAGGCAGATCTCTGAGTTTGAAGCCAGCCTGGTCTACAAGAGCTAGTTTCAAGACAGTGAAACCCTGTCTCGAGAAACAACAAAAAAGGTGGTGTGGTAGTAGAAAACTCTCCACAGGTCCCTCTCGGGACATTTCATCCCTATAAAAATTTGAGATCTTGCATAACTTTGCATACAGGGGAATCACAGGTGCAAATAAACTAGCAAGGCTGTACCGGCCCGGCAGTTAAAAAGGAACATTTCACATAGGGCCAAGCATTCTTGAAGAAATTGAAAGTATCCTGCAGGTATGGTGGTACAAGCCTGCAATCACAGCTCGGGAGGACCCTAAGTTTGAGATCTACCTGGTATACATAACATCTGTTTTCAGAAAAATTATTTTTTCCTGGAGAAAACTGGGGAATAATTAATCTGAACTGAGTGGCCTATAATTTTCTGTATAATATTCTAATTCCAATCCCCAAGATTTGGCGTCTGGTGTGCTTCATGTCATAGCCTAGAGGACCACCCTCTATTAATCCCAGAAGTCATGTCTGTCATAAAGGGCAGAGGCAGGTGGATGGCTTTGAAGCCCTTAAGAGCTACATAGTGAGGTGGGGAAGGGCTTTGATCCTGAACTTGAAGCAGATTTCTCAGGCAAGTGGGCAGTAAAGAATGACTAAATGGAGCTGGATGTAGTGGTGTCCACCTTCAATACCAGCACTCGGTAGGCAGAGGCAGATCGATCTGTAGAATTCGAGGACGGCCAGACCAGGGTGGGAGAGGGGAAATTTAGTGAGCCAATTACAATTCTTGCTCCAGGACTAGCATGCCCTGTTCTGACCCCTGGGGAAACTAGGGGTTAAAAGGTCCTGGTCTGGTTGCTGTGTGGAAGTTGGAGGTGTCCTTACTACTTATACTCCCAGAAGCTTTTGCATGCTCTTACAGCTTCATGGAGAGCAGCCATATCCCAGCACTGGCAGTAGCTTCACCCTTAAGAGGAGAAATCGCTACCCTAAAATACCTATAACTTAACAATGTAGTGTCCACAACCTGTAGGCATCTTACAGGAAAAAAAAAAAAAATGCCTCCAACTCTGGTTGCCTAACAGCCTATCTTTTTATGTGCTCTACCCAATGAAGCAGTTGTGGGGTCAAAAGTAGCACTTGGAGATTGTGACAGGCTGATGTCTGTCTGTCTTGGCCTTCACACAAACTTCCAGTAGCCATCTGGATTGTAGCATTTCTTATTCAATGTCTGCTCACTTTTACAGTTAGAATATTCTGGATAGTCTGAATCCAGTCCCCAGGACATGGCGTCTGGTGTGCTTTGTGTGCTATCCAGAGGGCCCTCATGTATGACAGAATAGCCTTCAACTTCTGATCCTCCTGCCTCTGTCCCCTGTGTACCACTGCATCCAGCTCTGGGTCGTCTTATTTGGCTGTATCCACAGGGTCCATGAGAAGAACTAGTCACCTGCGGGGACAGCAGATCTCTTCTGCGCTCTAGTTGGTTACTTTGGCTTTCTCACAACTGGCCTGGCTTTGGAGTTAGTTACTAAATTCAGAAGCCCTTTCCAACTGATGACAAGCCATTGCCCCGCAGATGATCACCTGCTTCTGAGAGGAGAACAACTCCAACATGAAGTTATATCAACACAAAGGCCCTTCCCTTTCTACCAGGAATGGTGTGAGTAGGTCTGTTGGAGTAGCTCATTATCCACCCACACATAAGTTTGTCCCCAAATCTGGTCATTCTGTTGTGGTTACTAATAGCATAGCAGCCTCACATAGTGACATGCTTGTAATCCCAGAATTTGGAGGGAGGAGCAGGACGATTAGGAATTTAAGGCTGTCCTCAGTTCTGTATTCAGTTTGAGGCCAACCTGGGCTGTGAGAGATAATGTGTCAAGGGGCTGTAGGACATAACATTGAATACCAGATGACAGTGGAAGGTTGGGCTGGGCTGGAGACCGGGCTTCTGCATCCTGAACTCTTGTGATATTTAAGGAAGGAAATGGGGGTCTAGAGAAGTGTCTCAGGTTAAAAGCACTTTGCTCTTACAGAGCATCCACATGGTGACTCCAGTTCCATGGCATCTGATGTCCTCTTCTGTGTTCCTGGATACCAGGTACGGGTGTGGTGCACATACATGTATATGCAGGCAAAAACCCATGTACACACAAATGAATCTTTAAAGGGTGAAATGAAAAGTGTCCATATTCCAATGAATATAGTTTTTAAAAAGAAAAGTCAAAATTTCAGTGTGCTGCTGTTTATACTGAGGATTTAAAGTCAAGCTGATGTTCTCTGTCCAGACCAAACTGTGCCTGGTCCAGGATAATGGGAGCAGTGGCAGCAGCTCCCATATGAAGCCAGCGTCTTTCTATTCCATTCATGAGGATGTGTGCAGCAGTCATGGCAGCGGTCCTTGTGGCTTGGCTTTGTTGGCAAGTTCCAAAACCCAGTAGGAAACAGGCACGCAGAACGATGTGAATGGGCGTGATGGACGCTGTCTCCAGTGCTTCATCATCTGGTTCTTTAGCTTCCTCAGCCTTCACACACACACATGCCAGACCCTGTCCCACTGCAGTCTGCTGACTCCATGGTCAGGCAGATATGGTGCTAAATCTTACCTTTCTCACCACAGACCACTCCCTGAACGAGTTTTTTCTCATTCGATTTATACGCATTGCCTAGTTACTCTGTTCTCAGGGCTAGGCAGGATCATAATGTCAGCAGTTGGTTTTTAAGTCACAAACTGGTGCTAGATAACTAGCGCACTGACCGCACTTTGCTTTCGTGCTGGGTTCAACTCCAGCAACACACAGTTGAACTAAGTGAGAGCAGGGTTTATCTCCAGGGAAGGGAGAAGACAGTTAAGATATTTCACATGTTGTACCATATGCTTGTTTTACTGATCAAAAAACCAGAATTTAAAAGGATAGTTAAACAAAATATGTTAAAGATGGGAAGCAAGCAAGGGTAGATAGAGGGATTTGATTAGTTGGTTCTAGGCAGGGATTGCAGGCTCGAGCTACCATTACCAGCAAACACAATTATTTTGTGGTACTAGGAATTGAACCTAAAGTCTGTTAGACAGGTGCTATCCCTAACCCTGGTGTTTTACTGTGAGAAAAGACTATTGTGACCATGCCTAGACAAGAAGGGATGTACACATAGACTTGCTCCAGAACAAGGATGTAAGTACCTCCACCAACATCCACGTTTGACAACTACCAGCCATGAACGGAAGACAAAAGCAGCTCCCGCTTGACTGGAACTCCAGACTCAAGGAGCTGGGACAGATGTGGCTGGTTGCCACTCCATAGATGCCATATATGGGCCCTACAGAGCCTACCTCCAGTCCAGGAACTGATAAGGATATAAGGGCCTAACTGCTTGAACAGGACGTGTAGGCCTCACAGAAGGCAGGGTAATAGGAAATCGAGTTTTTCTAGCACCAAGTTTGCCACCCTGGAGGCTGGGGAAATAGGCTGCAGCCATGATTGTGATGGGAGAAAAAGTGTTCAACAAAGGCAACACCACTAGGAGATTCGTGTGAGAGATAAATGATGGCCTGTCCTTGGTCATACTTGGTATCTGACAGAGATAAGAGCGTCTACACCAGCGTCACCCCATGTCCTTGGGCTGAGCTGAATATAATCATTTAGGTTGATAATAAGACATCAAGAAGTAGGCCATTTGGAGGCGAGGACTACTAGATGTCTAAGTCATAGCTCTGCCTCCCCTATCCCAGTAATCAGTGAACCCGGGTTAGGTGCCACATCCTATGTGCACCTGTCAGTGAGCGAGACCTTGATCTAACCAGGAACCTGGGTTTGGGTACTACAGTCACCTGGGGAAGTAGGAAAGGACTCAAAGGCCACCCTGGATTTAGAGAAGGCAAGGCGAAGTCAAAGTAATGGGAGGTTCTCACCCCTTGCCCGAATAATACGTTGGCAAGATCTAAACTAATGGCTTTGGCTGTGGACGGATTAGGTC